TTTTTTTTCCAAAGACAAAAAAAGAAACAACAATAATAATAATAAACAACGACATCAAAAAAAAAGGAAAAAGAATGAAAAAACATCAGTTCTCCAGCATAATTAGATACAAAAAAAAATAATTATTATTAATTAATCTGACAAAAACACATTTCTTAAGAGATTCGATCTAATTGTACAAAAATTTTGCCATCGTAAAATGGCACTAGTTCATCATCCATAGTTAATTCACGAAATACATACTGCTCTTTATTAATATCTGGTGTACAAGTAGTTTTAAAGAAATATCTATAATAATAAAAAAGAAACTTAACAAATCAAGAATTATTTTTACAAATACTTCATACCTATATATTGGTTGTTTTTTAAATAATTGTCGAAAGTCTTTAAATGTTAAATGATCATGAAATCGAGGTATAGTTGATAAAAGAGCATTACTACTATCAAGTGATGGATACCAAACAACATCCACAGTTGTTAAACGATGACAACGAAATATTTCGTAATTTCTAAAAGCAAAACTTTTTTGATAGAAATATTTTCTACGATAAAATTAATGGAAACATACTTTTCTGATGTATCTGTTCCGACACCTGAATCTGATCTTGTAAAACTATTTCCTAATATTGAATGGTTTTTATTCTCAGTATATTTTGGTATTGATGTTGGTTTATATCGATAAGTTTGTTTTATTGGTGTATCAAATAAACTATTATCAGCTTCATCAATTGTTTTAGCAATTTGAAAATCCAGTACAGCTAATGAATCATCATCAATCATACGATGATCACTACATGAAATTTTATTTTGTACATTAAGTGATTGTGAAAGGCCACGAATTTTAGCTGCACTTGAATTCTCAGCTTGATAAGCTAATAGGCGTTTTTTAATTTCTTCAAAAAATGCAGCTGGATCACGTTGAGCAAGACTATATTGATCTTTCATTTGTTTTGTTAACTTTGTTGTACGCTACAAACAAGTTAAAAATGATTAAAAAAGTTCGAATTTTAATAAATTCTACATACTGGTTGTTTTGATACATTCAATCCAGCTTCATGATCAGCAATCAATGTTGACGCTTCTAATGAACTATAATAAAAAATACGACATCTTTTAGTATTTGACTATCTTTTTGTTTAAAATATATATTTAGAGAGTTTACTTACAATGAATAAGGATTTCGCATGAGCAATACTGTCATTGTTGAAGTAAATGAACAGTTAATCTCAAAATATAAGATATGTATATGTCTCTGTTTCTTTCTCCTTTCCTTTCTTTTTATTTCTCTCTTTTTGATAGTCTGTTCTCTAACAAGCGCGGCGTCGGCGTCGGCACAATAGTGTAATCTAATTGAATGTGATTCATGTTGACAAGATCAAAAAGACCGACAACGTTAGAAGTTAGAACGATCAAAGTATACCGCATACTTTGAAGTTCAGACAAGCCGTGATGGTGGTGGTGGTGGCGGCGGTAACGACAGAAGACAAGAGAAAAGAAACGAATGAACCAACGAACCCAACGGTCGATGGTTAACCATTCATCCATCGAGGCTAATCTACAGGTTGTTCTCTTACTCTTCAATCAGCTATTTCAGTGAAAGCGTGACGAAATGCATACGCTTGTTTGATGATAAATGATCACAGATTTCTCTCTTTCTATCATTCATGCTTTTTTTTTACTTCTCTAAAACATATTGCCATGGGATGATCATATGACATCGAAATGACACTTCTGTTTTTATGCTAAAAGAATTGAATTATTGTACACTCACCTCGGTTCGATTGGCTGTTGACGAGGATAAGATGGTGTTTTGATAGGAGCAGAAGTACTAAAAAAAATACCATAGAAATCGATATGATTAAAGAGAAGAATTTGTCAGAGTGATTCATCTGTTTTTGAAATCTATCTCATAAACATTTCAACTTCATCTTAATGAATACTCAAATTATCTATAATGCGTCCCTTTGATTTCATTGGCATATACAGATGAATAATTGAATATCTTACTTTAGATTTCGGTGATGAGATTTTTGTTTGAATTGTTCAAAAACTTCTTTTTTTCTAAATGTTACTGCTCTTCTATGCATTGGACTAAATGTTGATGTACTTAATGCTTGACGTTTATTTTGATTCTCTTGTTGTTGTTCAATAAGAAATTTTGGATAACACATTTGTAACATATATTTTAAAACATATTCTTGTGCTTGATCATAGAATTTTAAATGATATTCATGTTTTATTAAACGTTGCTTTATTGATGATATTAAATCATCTGGTAAGGAAAATTTCTTTTTGGATGATGATAAATCTTTTTCATTTGATAGATAATGTTTATAGATTAATTGTATAATAGCACCTTGTTTTGTTGTATCATCAAGTAAATTTCTTAAACCATCACATGCTAAATAAAATTCTAATACATATGCTAAATATTCCGATTTCATATAGAGATAAAATTGTTCGCATAATTCTGGTTGATTAAGGAATTGAAGAAATTGTTTTCGTAAATCGCAATCAGTTGTTTTCGATGATGTCATATTAAATCTAATTAAATAATAATATATATTTATTTGACTGAGACAATCTCTATTAATTTATCACATTATGAGAATTGTTTTTATTGAATAAAAAAAGAAAAGAAACTAATAGACTTCATCTATATGAGAAATTGACTTTCTTCTGATGTTAAATGATCAATGATAGAACGAAAAAAAAAACGGTCGGAACACTTTTTGAATAAACTCAAGAAGCAGCAACAGCTTTTTCTCTTTTCGTAAAAGATCAAAGAGGTTTATTGACAAATGATAATCATATTCTCATGAAGAATGTAATGGGAAAATTGATTGCATGAAAAAAAATATATTTTTAAATCGAGATGTAATCATGATCGTTGTCAAGAGTTAAATATCTGATATCTTTAAGAGATCACTATGACACGCTTTGCTACTTAGAAAGAGAAAAAAATTGATAAACATATTCATTTATTGATACATGTCAAATGACTCTTGAATTTAATCAGCTTTCCTTGTTTTTTATACATCGAGAGAAGAGATTAGATATATTTTAGAAAAAATAATCTTAACAATCTATTTTAACAGACGAAGAAAATGTGTGAGAGACAATTAACACAGAAAAGCAATTGATTCAATGAAACGATACAAGTGAAAAAAATCTATTAGTTTTCCTATGTAGTTCAAATAAAATTATCAAGTTGAGTGTTAAGAATTAATATGAAAATGAAAGTAATATAAACTATGTTTAGAAAATTTGATTAATTTATCATGTGTGCTTATCAGATAGATAACTTATGTTCTGAACATTATGTCCAGAATAGAGAAAGTTATGGATGGACGCATTTCTTTGCTATCTACGACATAGTTTATACAAGATGTTCGGAAAGAAATTGAGATTCTGCTCATATAGAAGACTTTTTATTACAGAAGAAGAATCGTTAGCAGTTTCTTACGTATTTTCTAGTGTGTACTCATTTCCGACTCGAAAATATTCTATATCATGACGACAAAATGAGCACGCCTGTTTTATATTTTTCAATTAAAAACCTGATAATATAATTTACATAAATATATGTAATGACATGGATATATTAAAAGCTGATGTAAGCAACATTTTGTACAGTAGCGTTCATATTAATTGTCATTTTGTCAAGTACTTAACAAAAGATTAATTTCAAGAAAAATATAATCAGCTTAATTCAATATTCATTATTATGTAAATATGTTGACAAAAATAATGATTGGTAATTATACTAATTACTATCATTTTCTTCGTAAAGGGAGAGTCAAGTAATTTAATAAGGAACTTACTCATCATTGAAAATTCTTTTATTTGGATTTTTATTAGTTGCCATTATTAGATAAAACTATCCATTTTCACACTTCTCTATCGTAACTGGAAGACAGATGTATACAAAACTTCATTGTCTCGCTCTCTCTCGCGTTTTTCTCTCATTTAACCCTATGGCATTTCACCACTTGAACAACCGAATTTCCTTTTCACTTCATAACTAACGCGTGCTGCCGTCAATACATTTCATAAAGAAGAAGAAAAAAGAGTACTTGATTAGATTGTCGTAGCGGATCATATTCAATTTTTAATATTTCCTGCTAAGCATCGTCTATCTTAAATTAGTAGGCAATTATTTACTACTAATATAATATGAATCATCTTACTTGTCACATGGATTTTAGTATTGCATGTATAGATTTTGCTGCCAATCGTTCAATCATATATAATATATAAATATATATAGAATATTGACGGAGTAAAGATGGCTCGAGGGATTGAGGAGATGAAGCGAGAGAAAGAAAAATAATTAAGTACACCATTGCCTCAAACAAAGGCGTGTCTTCCGGTCTGGCATAATAAAAAATAGACGAATGAACGAATTCAACAGAGAGAGAGAGCGAGAGAGAAGAAGAAAAGTAGGCGGAGTAAGTAAGAATAAGTATGTTGCGCATTACGTCAAAATGAAATATGGAATGTCTTACATACGCATGAATGATTGAATAGACAGATAAAACAGAATAGTTAACTTACTTTTTTGTTAGTTGCTGTAACAATGACATATTGAATTTTCTTTATTAAATATCTAAAAGAACAGATTTATGTATTATTAATGATTTCTTTTTAAGTATATAATAAATAATTTGTATTTTATTTCATCAACATGCAAATATTCTATGCTTATCATTCTACATAATAATTAATAATAAGAATATGACGATGTCAGAAAGAATATCTAAAAGGTTCTTTCATATAAATCATCATTAGGAAAAGTACTGTTCAAAGAAAACTACTTTGATATATAGCTCGTGTTTCGAAAAATAAGAATTGACTCAAATAAACTATTGTCAGGTCATGAAAATAAAAATATTCGGTCATATATTAGTTCAATCAATAAAATTGTCCTGTTCATATCATTCAATAAAGGATAACCGTCGTTCTTTCTTTCTTTATCATCATTTGATAGGTTGATTCTCAGTCAATCATAAAAGTATTTTGGACCTTTTTCTCTCAACTAAATATTTAGGACTACTAGCGACAAATTCTTATTTATAAACAATAAATTGTTCGCTTTATCCATTTATTCAGTTTCTTTTTCTAACAAAGATGACAACAAACAATTTCGAAAAACTTAGTCCATCAGATCTTTTTACTCAAATTCTTCTTCAATCAGGTCAATATTCGTCATCTAATTCACAACAACCAGTACTTGAATCTGATGCTGAAAAATTACTTATTAATTTCGCAGAATTATTTGCCAAAGAATTAGTTTCTCAATCATCTTCTGTTGCACAAAGACGTTCAGAAACATCAACTTCCATAAAATTAAATGATGTTAATTTTGTTCTAAAACATCAATGGCCTATTTATGATAATTCTTCTTATAATCAAATATCTAAAAATTAAATAATTTTCCTATTATTTCAGATATGTCGCATCATTATCGTATTAACGGATCTATGATCCAACAATATAGTGGAAAACCAGTTAGTATTATTGGTACTGTTAGTAAGGTAAATAAAATAAATTTCTCATATTTTTATATAAAATAATAAATTCTAGGTTCATCCATCAGGCAATGTAATCGATTTGGAAACAAGTGATAAACAACATATTGTTGTACGTTCATCGGAAAATGTATGTAGACAGAAAAAGAATGAAGACTATTTAATAAATCAATTTCTGTTAAGGTTAATGTTGAGTCTGGTAGTATTATTGAAGTACTTGGCAATGTTGATAATCGAAATCAAATTGAATGTGATATGATTGTTGCATTTGAACCTGAACAAACGGCTAATTTTGGTAAAAAAAAAAGAGAAGTTTAATATTATTTTGATTTTGATTTATATAGATATGGACATGTATAATCAAGCTGTTATGCTTTTTCAACATTATCCTCAAGACTATCTTGTTAATCTTTAATTCTTGTAAAAAAACAATGCTAAAAAATTATGTCAGATTTTTCTTATGAAATAAAAACTTATCTTAGATATTGATACATATATACATAAATATATTCTTTCAGATGGCTAGTTCATTAATTCGACATTTTGCTCGTCCAGTTTTAATAACAGGCAAAGGTAAAATAATAAATTCGAAATTCATTTATTGATTTTTTTTTTGATTTAGGATTATTTTCTGCGGCTACACAACGAAGTATTCCTGCAAGTTCAATTCTTTTTCATCGAACTCAAGCAACAGCAACACCACCAGCATCAACAACAACAACAAATGCTCCTGCTCGTAAGTTCTACTTCTTTTCAAGATTTCTTTTGTATTCATAATAATTTCATTTAGCAAATCTTATTCGTGTGAATGTAGAACAACGTAAAGCTTTAGTTGATTTTGGTCAATATGTTGCTGAATGTTTACCACGTTTTGTACAACATGTACAAATGTCATCAACCAATGAACTTGAAATATTAATTCATCCCGATGGATTATTTTCGGTTATCGCTTTTCTTAAAGATCATACAAATGCTCAATTTAGTTCGTTAGCGGACATTACTGCTATTGATGTACCAACACGAACATATCGATTTGAGGTACATTCTAATTCTTTTTATAGTTTCCTTGATAAGTAATTCTTTACTTTCCTAAACATACTATGACTATTTTCGAATATATATAAATCAGAAATTATCTAATAACAAATATGAATAATTATTGATCGATTAATAACAATGATCTGTCTTTTATTTAGCTTGTTTACAATTTACTTTCACTTCGTTTCAATTCACGTGTTCGTGTTAAAACATATACTGATGAAATGACACCGGTAGCAAGTATATGTGATCTTTATGATGCTGCTAATTGGATGGAACGAGAGGTTAGAAGAGAAAAAATTTATATAACAATATTTATATTTTGTAATATAGGTTTGGGATATGTATGGTGTTTATTTTACTAATCATCCTGATCTTCGTCGTATTTTAACTGATTATGGTTTTGAAGGTCATCCCATGCGTAAAGATTTTCCTCTACCAGGTTATACTGAAGTTCGTTATGATGAAGAACAGAGACGTGTTGTTATTGAACCCATTGAATTAACACAAGATTATCGTAAATTTGATTTAAGTACACCATGGGAAACATTTCCAAAAGTAAGATTCTTAAATTAATTTCAATTGTAAAAATAATTTTTCTTATTTAGTTTCGCAATGCTGTTCATGATGATGCTAAACAACGTCAAGAATCTAAAACACCTGAACTTTCTAAACCATCAACTGGCAGTAACACTGAAAATAAAAAATAAATGAACGACACCTGCGTTCCTCTTGCTTTTCTTTTTCTCCTGTATATAGGCGTCGTTTTTCTTTTTTCATTTTCCATTTCAAACAATAAAATTATCTTAGCATTATTCTCCCGGAAAAAAGCATATCTATCTGTTCTTGTGTTCTTTTTTGTTTTTGAGAAAAGAAAAATCGAGCCTTTTTTTCTTACAGATATTTAACTATGTTAATATCAACAGTACTTCAAAAAACAGTTTTAAAATCAACATCGTTACCAATGATGTTTATTCGTTCATATAGAACAAAAGATATGTTACGTCGACGATGCGCAGATTGTTATGTCGTTTGGCGTTATGGAAGAATGTACATTGAATGTCCAAAATTTCCACGTCATAAAACTGTTTCCAAACTTTCACAAGAAAAAGGTTGGGGATGGTTAGATTGGCGATTAGCACCAAAAATTGAACGCATTAAATAGTTCAATTTCTTTTTTTTAGTATTTTGTTTACATTGTTATCTGATGTTAGAATATCATAAATAAACATTGTAGCTTGAATGATTGAAGACATGTTTCATTGTATTACTTAAAATAAAACGATCATTAGATTCATTGATAATGTTCTTTTTCATTTATTCGAAAAACTATATATAATAATGATCATATGTTAGCTTTTATTACCAATGTGTCTATTAGAAAAATCTATAATCAATACAATGATGTGTTCCTGCTTGCTTTCTTTTTTTATCTGCATGTGTGTCTAATAAACATAATAACAACTGTTACGAAGTAATATCAAACCAACTGTCTAATAAGTATTGTCTAACCAAAACATACTAAGATGAAATTTGACGATGATGTTAATGTTGTATGAACTAATAATCTATAGTGGATGGAGAAGAAGAGGATGAGCAACTTAGAATATCGAAGTTAACTACTAGACTATTGCAATAACCATCGTCATTAATCAAACAAATGATGATCCATTGTTTACAGGCTTGATTGCACACGTATGCAGATACTCATCGTTTTGCCATAAATTGAAGAGGGAGAGAGAACTGAGCAAGCATATTTAATATATAACTTGTTAGTAGGATAATCTTATTGATGTAAAAGAAATGAGTATGTGTATTCCAATGAGATAGATGAAAATCGAATTTCCATTACTGACTCTCTTGTGTAAAGTTTTATTGATATCATATTAGAAAAAAAAAGATGACCATTTGGGATTGTTTCATTTTCTATTTAACCATCTGTTGGAATATTCTCGTCCTTATTTGATCGATTCGAGGTGTGTGTGTGTGTATCTGTATACGTTAAGGAAGAACCTTGTGTCTAAATATCGTTGCTTGTTTTTCAATCAATCAATCAGTCATTCTTACGTAATTCTTCTTTTTTTTCCTATAAGAAAAAAAAATCGAGAAAGAGACGATGATCATTTGGATATAGAATGAATTACATATGTGTATAAAGAATTCTTATCTAGAAAATATTCTACAGGTGTTGGACATTCAATAGATTTATCAATTTTGCCATGTCAATGGTGGTCATTGATTGGCTTCAAACATCAGAATATATTCGTGGTAAAATATTTCTTTAATCTATTAACTTAAAAATTAAATTAAATTCTTGTTATAGAAAATTCTGAGCGTTTTATATTATATTGTTTATGTGGTTGTTTTATTGGTATTGCAATTATTTTTCTAATGATTATTATAGTTTTATTTATTGAAAAACGAAATAGAAATGGTAATACAAATGAAAAATTCAATCATGAATATCAAGTGCCAAGAAACGATGCAAATTATAATGATATATTCTCCGTTACAAATCCTTATGTACCCGTTTATCATTATGATGGAAGAAGTCATAGTGAACTTTATAATATATAATAAAATAAGAAATCTTTATATAAATATTACAGTCAAGTTCCGGTGACTATATATTCATTGCAAATTACAATTTTATTATATAATTACGATGAAAACATTTCACAAACGAAGAAAATTAATTGGTATTATTCATTTCTAAAAACATTAAAGATGACATATTCGAAAAAAAACTTTCACTTTTTACCGCTTCCTATAATAAAAATATGTTCTCAATATTTAGTCATTGTCTCGTATGTAAACATAGTACTTCTATGAGAACTGAAAGTATTTATTCATATGACTACTAAATTTTGTGTCTTTTTTTGTACTGTATATTCGAATGCGAGACATATCACTGATTTTAAAGATAGAATCGTTTGAATAATATATCAAAATATTTCTATTTGATTTCTTAATATATAGGTAGTTAGAATTCATGTGTGGAGTATATATACTATGCAATAGAACTAATCTATCATTAGTTTATCAATGCTCAGATGCTAGTTGTCACAGAAGTTTTACTAACTTCGAATCGAAATCAATTGATTGTCAAGCAGTTTTCTATACAGCAATCGAAAAATCTATAAAGATGAAATCATTTTGTACTCGATGACATAAACATAGAAGAAAAAAAATAGTCACACAATATTGTAGTAATTATATTTGATTTTGTAGTAAATATACGTACATTCTTTAATTAATTTCTACGCTCGTAGAGTAATAAAACGTTGTTTTTCTCACTAATGTCGTATACTTCCGATATGAAAATTAATTACGGATCATTAAAAAAACACGACAATATTTTGGTATTGCCTTACTTTTTAATAGAAATATACAAGATCAAACTAGTGCTAATTCTGATATTAATCTAAACAAAAGTTTGTTAGATTTTCATTGTATTACATCTTCAAAAGACTTGTTTTCTTTAGGCAAATTAATAACTCGTTGCATATGATTCATTCATAAGTCTATGTTTGTTTGTCACTATGAAATAATAAAGCAACTATAAATTTAATATATATGTATATATTATTCATAAGAAAATGAGAAGAAAAAAACTAATTTTTTTTGAATATATACTTTACGTTAATGCTGTTATTAAAATTTCAACAAAAGAAGAAAAGAATGAATAAAAAAAGAAACAATAAGAATATAAAAATTGAGATACCAAAAAAAAATATTAGACGCAATTTCTATTTATTGTAGCAAAAAACTATTATAGGACAAGAAAACATGATGTTAGTAACAAATCAAATATTTAAAATGAATGATAATAAATATACATCAAATAAAGTTAGTATGAATAAAGAACAAGTGTTCCGGGCAATTGTAACTGTTGAACAATGGAATCATACACAGGTACATAAAGTTTTACAATACATTTCGAATATTCGTATATACCAATAACAATCACTAAAAGAAATGTATTTTAAACCAGTATATTTCTCTACACATAATTTTTGAGTATCAAATAATCGAACTGGTATTTACGACATACTAGTCAGATGTTCATTCAGTAAAGGAGTAGCTAGTGTAGTCAGGAGATTGAAATATGAGAAAATGAGACTCGCTATCGAGTTGATTTGTTCTTTTTTCTTATAGTTCTGTTTGTTTATTTAGAAATCTCATTAATAATTAAAGAGAAATACATTACTATCACCTTTTGAAATCAAAAGAGCTTGATATATTTGACATTCACAAGATAGTGATCAAAACAAAATAAATACTTAGCATACCTTACACACATAGTTTTCTGATTATTTTTAATTCAACCTTATTGAATTTCTTTATCAGATAAATAATAGTTAATTAATTAATATTATATTATATACTCTAATAAGCAATTATTTAGTACATATTAATAGATACAATCTGTATTCTTTCTCTAAAGCTAAAACTTTTTATTATGAATTTTAAACATAATTTTTAGCGATGTGGGTTTATTGAACGATTATTACCAATATGTAATTCATATCAACTTGATATGTTATGGACAGTTTTACAACCATCATTACATCGTGATTATTATTACGCAGTTAAATCACGTTTTCCTAATTATCATTTCAAACAAATAAGTACACCTAATAGTCGAATATTTAAGGTATGTGAAAAAAACACGAAAATATTTTGTTTTGATTTTATATTAATTTATTTATATAAACAAAAAAATACAAAAGAATAATTATCATCGATCCTTTGATGGAGAAGATAGCTTCTACCTGAGTAATATTAATGATCTTCAAGAATTTCGTGATAATGATGGTCTTATAAGAAAGCCACAATCAATATTCACGCAGTAAGTTTTTTAAACTGTAGACGCAATTCTTGTATTCAGATCATCATTATCATTATATATTTTTGGTACATCATAATGATTTTCTGTAGCTATTGTTGTTGTTGTTTGTTGTGCTGTTGTATTTGGAATTGCTGTTCCAATTAATGCATCTAATTGTTCATCAGTAAAACAAGTAGTTGTTTGTCGTGGATAATCATAATGTGTAAAATTAGTTTTTTGATTACCTGTTGATGAATAACAAGTACTATATCCTGTTGATGATATTAAATCACTATCACATCCCATTTGTGCTAGTACTCTTCGAATACTATCTGTACGTCGAAGTGAAGAACCATGTTGAGCTCGATAAATTTCAGGATCAACACGAAAACACCCAAAATTTTGAACTTTTTGTTTAATGTGTACACGAGGTGGTTCATATTGAAGAATAACATTACGTGGAGGTTGTCGACTTTGTTCGGTTTTTTCAGCTCGTTGATATAGAATAGGTCGTTCAGGTGATGCTTTATATGGTAACCATTTTTCGATAATTACTGGACGTGGTTTAGGTGGTAAAGGTGGTTTACGTTTAATAACAACACGACGTGGCTGTGTTGGAAGAGGTGGTAATGTTTTTGTAATAACTCTTGGCGGTTGATATACTGGTGGTGTTGGTGGTTCTTCACGGACAATTAATGGTGATGGTGTCCGAGGTGGAATAGGTCTATGAAAATTTTTCTCTATTTTTAGAAGAACTATATAAGAAAATCTTACGGTGTTGCTGATACAACAAGTGGTGGTGGATCATTAAGTGGTTTCGATTGTATTTCACGAATAACAATTGGTCCTGGTGGTGGTGGTGTAGGTGGTCTTAAATATCGAATACCTACTTTTTGAGTATAAACAATATCTTTTAGATTATCACGATAGATTATTTCAGGATTGGGATCATAATTAAGATTATTTTGAGAATATTTTGATGCTAAATGCATTTGATTAAGATACGGTTCTGAATGTGTTTGAATATGTGGAGAATTAATTTCATTAGTATAAAATCTAACACGACGAGATCTTCTACATGGATCATTATTATTACCATGAAATACCTCATCGTTTTCATCATCACTTGTCGCATGTCGAGTTGCAAAATGATCAGTAGTTGAACGTTGATTTTCACTTGATACTGAACGTTGTTTTCTAATAAGTTCTTCCTGATGTCGATATCTATCAGGAAAAAGTCGAGCAAATGCTGATTGTGGTCCACATAGTCGATGACCACGTTTAGCAGGAACTGTTGTTTCCCATGTTGTCGATGTCATTTCATTACTTTGCATGGGTTCTGTTCTATTTATTGTTGTTATTCTCTCCTTACATGAAAATGGGTGTCGTATTTTGAAAAATCGAGAACGTTGACTAATATTATCATTTTCATTTTTATGAATATAACTATTCATTTTGAATTTTCAAGGTTAAATTCACTTCGATAAATAAAATATGATTAGAATGATTACCTTGAATATATGTATGTATATATATTGATCGTTGACTTCTTTTACCTATTCGTATGACCAAATCATTTATGGCAATTATTTAAATGATAGTCGAGAATCAATTTGTATGACCATGAGATAAATGAATGAAAGAATATCATATGTTTGTTTCGCTTGAATGATTTTAAAGTTGAAAAGATATTAAGACTTTTTTTTTTTCATATAGATATTCAGACAAGAAATTATCATCTTCGATTAAACAATCAGTTCTTACAAAATCGAATGAAAAAAACCAGTTGACCTCACAGTAATTTCTTATTAATTCGAATTAATAGTAAAATTCGCTTCAGAAGTATTGAGATAAATAATGAAAATGGACGAAAACCAAAAATTTCAAATCGGTTTACACCAACAATAACGAAATCAGTTACGTCACAATGGATAAATCAACCTGTCAATTCTTTATCAACGGTTAATAGATTATTTTTCTTTTTAAGTTGAACTTTTTTTTTATTCAATTGTAGACATCTGATAAAACCATTCCTGAACAACTTTTGAATTGGTTTACACATTCTTGGTTAGGTAAGACTAGTTTTTTTATTTATAAATAAATATTCAATAGTATTTTAATCAGAATCAGAACAAAATGAATTTCTTCGACAACTTATCATTAAGTTTGATGAACGACAACAATATTTTGCTTCATGTGTAATCCTAGTAATAAAATCATTCATTTTGATTTCAATATATTCTTTTATTTTTTTCGTATAGCAACGTCGTTATCGTGATTTTATTAGTTTATTACCTCTAAAAATCTCATTTCATATATTGAATTATTTAAGTCTTCAAGAATTATCTCGATCTCGTCGAGTAAAACAAAATTTTTATTTAATAATTTTAAAAAATAATTTTTCTAGGTATGTAAAAATTGGAAATCAATCATCGATCAAGAACGTAATCTTTGGAAACCAAAAACTAATTCGCAATTAGATGGTATAAATAAAAACAAAAAAACAGATCTAATTGATTTACGTACTAAACTTTATTTCTATTTAGAAAAAACAAATACACAAATTGATTGGAAAAAAATTCAAAAACAACATTTAGCTATAAAGCGTAATTGGTTAACAGGAACAGCGCATATTATCGAATGTACCGGTCATACTCAGAGGTAGATATATTTTCCTATGGATTATATTCAGCTATAGTTTTCATAGCAGCTAAACTAATTTTTCGATGATGATGTGATAAATTATCACTTGATTTTTTCATTAAAAAACTATTGCCATCATTTTCATTTGCATCAATACTAACACGTGAAAGTCGTCGTTGTACTGAAGTTGAAACATATGGATGATCAAGTTCTTTCAATGAATGTTTAACATCAATAATTTTCTTTGTTAGCTTATGATCGACATCTATAAAACGTTCTAATATTTTTTGTCCATACTTTTTTGATTTTATATGATGAACAATTGCTATAAATACATGTATAACAAATGCAAATGCTAATAATAATGGTGCTAAGTATCCTGATGAACCACGATGATGTGAACCACTAATTTTTTCACCTAGTGTAAATTCATAACAAGTAAAACGTGGTTTAAATACATTTTCATATTCATCTATAAATGATATACATGCAACATAATCATCTTCATGTAAACCAAAAATATGTAAAGAATTATGTGTATCAACTAAACGTTGTCGTGGAAAATATTCAGTTTGATCTTGTGAAGTAAATCGACGAAATTCATAATAATAATATCGATATTCATTGAATGTTGAATTCGAAAGATCAAAATATATAGTTACTATATCGTTACCTTTATCCCATGTATGACCAAAAGTTAAACCGAGATCAGATTTTGAACGAATATGACCTTCTGTATAGATCGATTGTATATTGAAGAGAATAAGATTGAAAACGATGAAATACATTGAATTAGTTTTCTCTTCCCTTTTTGTTTATGATGTGAATGGGATTGGTATTATCATTGATGCTTAGAAATATATATATTTTTTGAAAAGATCATGAGTAATAAATGCTTTTTTTTCTTTCTCTTTTATAGAGTATTGTGTATATGTGGGAATCAAACACATATAGCAACAGGTAGTCTTGATCGAAGAATTAACATTTGGTTATTAAATGATGGAACATTATTTCAAACATTAGTTGGTCATATAAAAGGTGTTTGGGCATTGAAGTTTCTTTCATCAGCAATTTTAATTAGTGGATCATATGATGCAACAATCAAAGTATCCATATAACATAAGTTCTTTAGGAGAAAAAAACAAATCATATTTCTAGATTTGGAATATTAATACTAGTATTTGCTTACGTACTCTCTTGTCACATAAAGGTCCTGTTTGGTCATTAGCATGTTCAGATATATTTTGTTTATCTGGATCTCAAGATCGAACTGTTTGTATTTGATCGAAAGCGAAAAGATTTTTATTTTTTATTGTTATTTCTTTCAATTTCTCATAGGCTCGTTTATGGCTTTTACCTAAATGTGAACTTCATGCAACGTTAACCGGTCATACATCAAGTGTATTTGGTGTTGATCTCAATCAAGAACAAAATCTTTGTGCAACATCTTCAGCTGATAAAGTATTTTCATATATTTATATTATTTTATTGGAATAGCATTTGTTTTTTAGACAGTTCGAATATGGTCATTAACTACACATCGATGTGTAAAAATTTTACATGCTTCAACAGATGAATATATAATGAGTGTTTCACTTCAACATGGTTTTATAGCTTATTCGTTTGGTGTTCATATTCTAATCTATCGAATTAATATAACAGAACTTCGATTATGTACTGCTCAAAAACTAATGGAAACACAAGAACATCGAGGACGGTAATTCATCTTTCGCAAATTTCATTTTTTGTTAAAAAGTTCATTTTGATTTAGAATTGAAAGTGTTCAGTTATTATTATTAAGTGATGAAGACAAACAACCATCACTAGTATCTACTGGTCATGATGGTTTAATTAAATATTGGGATTTAAAAAAGTAAAGAATTATTTTAAAACAATATCGAATAGTTTTTTGATTTATTAGTGTTACAAGTCGGCATACATTTAATGCACAAAATGATAGTGTTGTTAAAATAAATTGTATATATGCTGATCGAACCCATATTGCTTCTGTTGGTGATGATTGTTTAGTGAAAATTTTAGATTTCGCAACACGACCACATCAAAAATAACTATGCTTTTTATTCTTATTATAAAATCATATAATTATAATAAACGAACTTGAAACTATTTAGTGTGATATTGATTAATTCGCTTATAAAATAATACTAATAAAAAAAGAAAATACCTATATTTTAATTACAAACAAATGTATGACTCTCATTCATATCATTTATAAGTTAATTGGCTTGATCTTTGACTGCAATCAACAAGACATGAAACTCACATCATGAATGAACTTGACGTTTCTTTGACTTTATGATGTTGATATTCATATCATACGCATGTCTTATTAATTGCTAGAAATTTTTTCTTAATTAAACGAAATCAAATATTTGTAGACTTTTTTTCTTGATTCTATATTATACTGTATTTTTGTGCATATCAATAATCTATTTTATATCGATATGGCATTAATGTAAGTGATAAAAAATATTAATTATAGATGTATGTTTACTTTACTAATATAAGTTTGTATATTACATCAAATTGATTGACACTCACATGCAAAAACTTCTTTGATGTATATATTTAGATGATGAATAGTGACATCTATAGCATAGCTAGTTCAAGAGATTTTTTTAACCGTGCAAATAAATATATTTATGATACAAATTAGATTTTATTTCCAAATTATTTTCTTCAAAATCTATTAAATAAATTCGTTTTTGTATGTATTTCTCTTAATATAACATGAAAGGTTGTTGAATGATCGACTCATTAACTTTCCTCAAATCCTCTCTCATGATGGTTTTGACCAACCCAATCCAAAATAAAATAGAATAAATTGGCTCAAAGGCCGCCCGACAAGATCATATACATAATCGTCGTTCGTCTGTCTATCTCTATTATTTTCATATTTCTTTTTCGTCATTCTTGTCTGGTATCACACAATAACTTTCGACAGATCATATTCATTTTCCTTTTTTATTATTATTATCACTTACGCGCGCGTGCTTTTAACGATATTAATATTATTATTATCATCACACAAATATAGCTGATTTTTGTTGGAAATTATTACTACTCCAACTATTTTATTAATTTTTTTATTAAACAGAACATTAAAAACGTCAATACACTTGACTATCATAGAGAAAATTTTGAAATAAATCGATTATTACATAACTAAAAGTTTCTTTATTCGATTTATCATCCAGTTTATTTTAGATAATATACATCTAACTAATTCGTTCTTCATAATAAAAGCAAAATGTCAAACGATGCACGTCAAAAAAATTATAAACATCGAGGACTTGACAGTGAAGAATTACGTAAAAGACGTGAAGATTTAAATATTACTTTACGTAAACAAAAACGAGAAGAACAGGTTTTAGATTTAATAAATTTTTCTCAATTAAATTATTTATAATCTATATTTATAATTTCAGCATTTTAAAAGACGAAATTTAGCAAGTACAAATGAACCTGAAACTACAACTCCATTCGGAGTGTCTGGTGCTGGTACTCAACCCTCTGGACCATCAGAACCGGTAAAAATTTAATGTCAATTATAAAAATAGTTTGACAAGTCTTTAAAATATTGACAGAATTTGTAGAACGAACAGGAGATTCTTTTAAAAGTATATGTCTATATTAGAAGGGGAACATGGGAATATAGGTCAATCAAGAACTAGATTTTGATAGGAAAAAAAATATTCTTTTGACAATGATACAACAAATTAACAACAAAAAAGAGCGTCATTAGTATTATATGGGTCTCTTATGATTTAAAAATTATATATGGGTAAAGCCGTGGGAAACCTGCCACAGTTTGGAAAAAATATTTTTTTCGATTTTTTTCTTGATAGAAAGACGTAAGCGATCCAGAAAACTTCATTCGCCAAAAAAAAACCTTTTTTGTTGAAATCCTGAAGTTCTAAGTCGTTTTCTCGGAACATGTATATATGTATTATATGTTCGAGTCATCATATCAGTAGATGACCTACTAAATATTCGAACACCCTCCAGATGGTTATAGCATTGGATGCAGTTTTTCATGCTGCATCTAATGAGTATATTTGTAAACATCCATAGTAGGTCAAAAATTTCGAAAAACAGTATTTTTTTAAAAAGCAATGATTTCTCGTGAAATGAAATTTATCATATTTTTTTGCATGTTTTTTCGATTATTTTCCTCAAAAATTTGACTTAGAATTTTTTTTAAATATACAGTTTTGTAGAGCTCGACAAGTTCTATCAAACCATATATAAATCGCCAAAAAAAAATTTTAGTCAATTTTTGCATTTGCTGCACTTTACATGTTCCAAAAAATGACTTAGAACTTCAGGATTTCAACAAAAGTTTTTTTTTGGCGAATGACGTTTTCTGGATCGCTTACGTCTTTCTGTCAAGAAAAAAATCGAAAAAAAAAAACTTTTTCCAAAACCGTGGTAGATTTCCCACGGATTTACCCATATATATTTAAAACATTAATACTATTTAAACGAATTACCTTTTTATTATCAGCGAAGATTATAATTAGAAGACTACTTTAATTCATAATTTTTATTCAATATGCGTTAACTACTCTTAAGAAATAGTATATATCGTATTTACCTAGACTTCATCGATCACATGCATTTTCTTTCTTTACATCAAATATATGTTGATCATGACTTCTGATATTTTACTCGATTTTTCTAGTCTCATTCTAGAGTTTTTTGAATCTTAGTATATATTATGTTCTGGAAGATAGAACAATAAATAAAATGTCATGTTTTGTAAAGTATATAAGAATTTCATTTGTTATGAGTATTTTAATTTAATGATTTTTTTTAATGTTTTCTGGATGAATAAAATTACCCTTAAAATTGATATTGATAAGAAAGAATAAACGTTTTCCTTTTACCCTATGTAACACAGGAAATGCTGTAATAGTCGTATACATATGTGACATTATTTAAATATTTAAAGTCAGGATAATATTCTTTATCATAAAATGAAATGTATCCTATTTCTTAGGTTATTACCAGTCAAATGGTTGCAGCTTTATTCGGCGATGATCCACAACAAATGCTTGAAGCAACAATTCGATTTCGAAAATTACTTTCCAAAGGTTAATATTGTTTGTTTGTTTTCTTCAAAAAATACGCGTCTTTTTCTAGAACCCAATCCACCTATTGATGAGGTTATCACAGCTGGCATTGTCCCTCGTTTTGTTGAATTATTAAAATATCAACATTTCCAAATTCAATTCGAAGCTGCATGGGCTTTAACAAATATCGCATCGGGAAACTCAAGTCAAACAAAATATGTTATTGATGCTGGTGCTGTACCAGTTTTTGTTCAATTATTAAGTAGTGCGAATGAAGATGTTCAAGAACAAGTATATATTTTTATTTATAGAGATTTTCTTTCTCATTTTAACTCATTGCAATATCTTTTTAGGCTGTATGGGCATTAGGAAATATTGCTGGTGACAGTCCTGAATGTCGTGATTATGTTCTTGATACAGGTGTACTTCAACCATTATTAAAGTAAACAAACGTCTTTTTTTCTTGAAAATTAAATACGATTTTTATTCTCTAGTATTTTTTCACGTAATACACGTTTAACAATGGTACGAAATGCCGTTTGGTGTTTATCGAATTTATGTCGTGGTAAAAATCCAGCTGTTGATTTTAATAAAGTAAAACTGAAAAAATTCATATGAAAAATAATCAAATAAATTTTCGTTAGGTTGCTGCAGCATTACCTGTCCTTAGTCGTTTACTTTATAATCTTGATTCAGATGTATTAGCTGATACATGCTGGGCTATTTCATATTTATCAGATGGACCCAATGAAAAAATTCAAGCTGTTATTCAAGCTGGTGTAACAACAAGACTTGTGGAATTATTAGCGTAAGACAACAGATAATCGTCTTTATTCTGAAAAAATATATAAATACTTATTTTTAGACATCCAGTTTTAAATGTTCAATCATCAGCTTTACGTGCTGTTGGAAATATTGTGACAGGTGATGACCAACAAACACAAGTAATTGATTTATTTAACTATAGAATTCATTTAATGTTTTTTATTCTTACATAATTTTCTATAGCTTGTTCTTGATGCTGGTGTACTTCCGCATTTATTAACGTTACTTCAAAGTCCAAAAGAATCAATTAAAAAAGAAGCCTGTTGGACCCTATCAAATATAACAGCCGGCATTCAAAGCCAAATCCAAGTAAATTTCTTTTAATATTATTAACTGAATTTTAGTTTTAATTCTTAGGCTGTTATTGATGCTAATATATTTCCATCATTAATTAATATTCTCAAACATGGTGATCATAAAACACGAAAGGAAGCTGCTTGGGCTGTAACAAATGCCACATCAGGTGGTACACCACAACAAATAAAGTAAAAAGGACATATTTCATTTCAAATCGATATTTACTCATTTTTGTTTTTGTGTAAAGATATGTTATTGATCAAGGAGCAATTCCACCATTATGTGAATTATTAAGTGTTACAGATACCAAAATAATTCAAGTAGCTTTTAATGGTTTAGAAAATATTCTTAAATTAGGTGCTGCTGAAGCTAAACGAACAAACGGACCAAATCCATATGCAATTATGATTGAAGAATGTTTTGGATTGGATAAAATTGAATATTTACAAAGTCATGAGAATATTGAAATATATCAAAAAGCTTTTCATATCATAGAGACATATTTTGGTGTTGAAGAAGATGAAAATCTACCACAACAACCAGAATCTGCACCATTTGAATTTGGTACAACGAATAATCAAGTAACATCAACAACAACAGCAGCAAATGGACAAATAAATCCAGCCGGTGTGAATACGAATCAACAATCTACACAAGGTCAATTTCAATTTTGAACAGTTAACTTTATTAATTGAATGATGAGAACTATCTTTGAAAACATGTCTGTCTCTTCTTTTGTTATGACAACGTCTTTTTCTTCTTCTTCTTCTTCTTTTTTCTTTAAACTAAAACCTTCTATAATCTCCTATTATTTGCCAACGTGGATAGATCTATAACATTATCATTTCTCATGATGTACGAAAAACTATGAAGAGTAATTGCATTCTTTTTTCTCCTACGTTTTCTTCTCTTTTCTTTTCTTGTCTTCTGCCGGTGATAACGCTGCAAGTATTTGTCTGTGTATGTGTTTAGTTTTTTTTTGGAAAACAACAGGATATGGACAGCGGCAGCAAGTATAAATATGTTATTTATTGATTTCTTTTTTCTTTCTTTTATAATCATGCATTAATCAAGAACATATGAGAAAAGTAGGCTAAAAAAACATAGTATGATATTATAGCATATTGAATTGATTACAGATATCAAATAATATATTGATCGACAATCATGTTTTTCACGAATAGGTTTCCGTTTTTAGTTTTAAAACAATCTAAACAGATCATAATAACATTGAGAAACTGAATTTCTGTTCTATACATGTACTATGAGAAAAGTTTAATCGTTTTCTTGTTCTTCTTCTTCTTCTTCTTCGTCAGTTAATTGTTCTTCATTTTCTTCTTCATCACTAGTATATTCTTCTGATGTAAGTTCTAAAGCAGCTATACGTTGAGCTTCTTCAAATTCGACGCTTGGATCGTTTTTTTCTATCAATTCTTGTGAATATTCAGTTTCAGGTACAGAAGGATGTGATGGATTGAATTGTTCATATTTTTGTCCCCAACCAATATACAAATTAAAATAATTTCTAAAAATAATTCAAATAATTTAGGATATAACAGATATTTGATATATAATAGTATGTACTCAGCATTGCCGAGAGTAAAAGCACCTGGCCAAATATTTGATCGTACATAACACATACTATATTCTTGCATAACAGACATTGTTAAACCAACTGACCATGGAGTTTGGTCCGTATATAATAATTTATCGTCACTAATCGGTTGTAAAAGTGGAGCAGGAATTTGAAGATTATTTTCATTTAATATTTCTTCGTTGTCGTCTTCTTCTGTAATAGAATTTGTTGTTTGTGTAGACGGTGGACGCCAGAAACGAGTACGTCCTTGTGGTAATATTTCAGGTAGAGAATGTACCCATTCTTCTAAATTTGAATTAGCTAATTGTTCAACTGTAATTGGATTTGTTAGATCATTATTGAATTCCGAGTTAATTATAATATTTGGCTCTATTTTTGTTTTTCGTGAACAATTCTCTTTTTATAATTATTGAATTATTTTTACCTTTACGTTCTTCATTCAAAGTTGTTTCTTCTTCTTCTTCAACATCTGTTAACATATAATATCCAGCTGGTGATATATGTGTTGTCGCTGTAATACGAGCAATCTGAGCTCGTAGGTAATCTTTTTCTAAACCAAAAATTGGTGGGAAGCCAGTCACTTGTGATAGAAGACATCCAGTAAATAAACAACGAATTTTTCGTACATAATTAATCGTAGCTGGTTTGACGTCAGGTAATTTTATCCATGGAAGTCCAGGTGAATTTGTTACAAAGTAAGTATACTGATTTGTACCTATTCCATGTGGTTCACTTGGGATTTCCGTTGATAGTTTCTTAAATAGAAAAACTAGATAATATATCATTGATCTAATTATTAAACTTGTACTTGATCTGATAATTGATGATTTGTATGTTTAGATATTTTTTTTACTTTTAACTTCTGTTCACGTTCACTAATATCGATTTCATCAAATGTAATTTCTTTTTCATGTTGAATCTTTTTTTATTAGTCAAAGTTTTATGTATTCAATTAATATGAATCTTACTTGTACGATATAATAATCACAACAGATTCCAAATATTTTACCCCAAAACTTCATTTCCGTACAATTAATTTGATTATTTAAACGTTTCATAGCTGACCAAATTCTGCAAAAATAAACAAGAGCAATACATATATGTATTTATTGTATATAAATAAAAGGTAGTTTCATACAAGATCATTTCTGTTGTATGAATACCATAACCTGCATTTGAACAATGATTAGCTATGTCCATTAAATAAGGAACAGCTTTAATTACATAATCTTTAGATTTAAGTAAATATTTTTCTTTTCCCTAAAAGTACTATTATTTAAACTGAACAATGATAGTTTGTACATTGCAAACCTGTAGTAATTGAGCATGTATTTTCGTTATTATTAAATCAGTATCATCTTTCGCTGTACGTAAATTCGATTGTAAAATTGGATACTCGAGTTTTTCAAATAATTCATCTATAATTGATAATAATTGTAAATGACATATACAATAAAATTTCTTTTTTTACGTATATCATTTTGTGGATTTTGAAGAATATTCTCAATAATAATTGCTAACTGATCATATCTAAATGAGATCAATGAGATAAATATATTACTCTAGTGAATTTATCATACAAACTAATATCTCTATAATCATTTGTTTTAAGTAAATATGCTTTTGCATCGATATAAGCATCTTCATTTTTACATTGACGAGATTTTATTTGATGTTTTATAAAAGTATCTATATCAATAATAAAAAAATAAATACATTTAATTGTTAATTTGAAAGTCTGAACAACTTTTCGATCGGCGAGAAGGGTGTGGGTGTGGGTATGGATACTGTATTCACCTATTATTTTAATAGCTCTTTTTATGGAGCATAGACGTATTTTGCGACTCGGACATCTATTTCCCACTGAAAATAATCATTTTTCTCACCGATCGAAGTTTTCTTCACTACTGGTCAATTTGTACTAGTAAGATATGATTCTCACCTACATCCCAAGTAACCCATATTATAAATGGAGCAGATGAATGCAGTATTAATTTGAAGATCTCTGTTTCTTGTAATTGATCAGAAATCATTGTTTTATTTATGATCTTGAATTTTTTTTTTGACAAACAAATGGAACTGTTTATTGTAAACAAAAAGACTACTTGATATAACTTACAAGAAGACGATCTCCTTGTTTCAAATAATTGCTTAATTCATGATAAAAGATTTTTTCTATAAACCAAAAGTTATCGATTTTAATTATATCAAATGGTATTTGCCGTAAATGACGTGTCACAATTATAAAACGTATATTTCCCATTTGATGAAGACTAATATCCATTGGTAAATATACTTCTATCAATCAAAATTTATAGTAATACTTAGAGACAAGAAATCTGTACCTTGTTCAGTCATAATATCAACAAGTTGAGTTGGTGTTTCAACATTAAATGAGTAAGCAACTGGCATTCGTTCTGATATCATATCTGTAATATTATTATTTTCACTTTTGTTTGAAACTGGATCCATGTTCGTTTCTTTTATTTCAATGAATCCGCGCGAAAAATATAGTTCAATTAAAAAAACCTTTTAAATCAAACTTCGAACTACACATAATTCTTCATTATCTTTAATTATAGTTAAACTAGGTTTATAATCATTCATTTACATATGATAAAATTTTGAGATATTATCTATGTTTCACGATATTTTGTAAATGTCAGTCGTGATACTAGTTTATTTCATTCATTACCTCGACTGAAGGAAGGCTGATGTAAAAAAAACACTAGAATGCATTTGTCTATGAATTTCTGAAAGTTAAAGATTAACCTTTTACCTGGTTGATTGAACCGCATGCAAAAGAAATAATATCTGATTTACAATTATTAATAAGTTATGGCACAGCTGTTGATATAAAACTGGTCAAAAAATAGAGCAACAAATATGTATCAATATTTTTCATTTGATTTTTCCACATTGTCATATGTCTAGGTAAAAGATAATAGAGAATCTGATATGGACTACGGAAGTTTGAATGAAAAAAACATAAACATTTATTTTTATTTTTGGATTAGTAAGTCACCCACCACCATATATATATTTATATATATATCAAAAAAAGATTAGGCAAAAGAAAATAAGAGAAAAATTAGCGATAAAAGTATTATCTTATAAATGTCAAAACACATCCAGCGAGAATACGAAATAATAAAAATGTAATTCATAATATTAACAAGTTTCTAGAAGAATTTTTAAGTTATCAGTACCACCGTTCACAACAGCAAAATCCAACATTTTATCATTATTCAAATCAGCAACAGCTAAAGATGTTGGTGACGATCCAAAACCGAGTGTAAAAGCGGATACACCTACGAATGTACCATTATTATATCCAAGAAATACATATACATTGCTCAGACCATAATTAATGACGACGATATCTAAAAAGATGTCTTTATTAAAATGACCAACAGCTATTGCATATGGTTCAGATTCAAAACCAGTTGTAAATGTTGTTTGATTTGAAAAAGAACCATTGGAATATCCATAAAGTACACTAACACTATCACTGCCACTATTAGCCACAACAATATCTAGTATGGTGTCATTATTGAAATCGCCAGTAGATATGGACGATGGAGTAGAACCAGTTGCATATGTTGTCTGAAGTGCGAAAGAACCATTTCCAAAGCCTAGAAATATACCCATATTATTTGTACCAGAATTTGTAACAGCAATATCAAGTCGATTATCTTTGTTAAAATCTCCAATAACAAACGATTTTGGTCGAGAACCATTACCAGTTATAAGTGTCATTTGTTTAACAAAAGCAATGTTCGCATATCCCAAAAGAATACCCATACGACTGTCTCGATAATTAGCAACGACGATATCCAGTCGATTATCATTATTGAAATCAGCAAGAGCTACAAAGTATGGCATAAATCCAGTTCGATATGCTGTCGCTTTTGCAAAAGCACCATTACCATATCCGAGAAGTACGCTAACAGTGTTGTCACCTGTATTAGCGACGACAATATCTAATAGATTGTCGTTATTCACATCACCAACAGCTAGTGCCTGTGGTGAATTGCCAACTGTAAATGTTGTCTGATTTGCGAACGAACCATTGCCATATCCGAGAAGTAAACCTACATTGTTGGTACCATCATTTGCAACGACAATATCTAGTTGAGTATCATTGTTAAAATCACCAATACCTACAAAAAATGGATAAGTTCCCGTTGGATAAGTTGTTTGATTTCCAAAAGATCCATCACTATATCCGAAAAGTACACTTATAGTTGCATCACCATTATTAGCGACGACGATATCTAGTTGGTCATCATTGTTGAAATCACCGGCAGCTATAGCAGTTGGAGATGATCCAGTTACATATGTTACTTGATCTGCAAAACCACCATTACCATACCCAAGAAGTACACTTACAGTATTGTTATAAAAATTAGCAACTACGATATCCAATTGTTTGTCATTGTTGAAATCACCAACAACTATAGCTGCTGGACCAGACCCAGTTAGAGGAGTGTATAAAAGCACAAAGGACCCATTACCGTATCCAAGATATACAACTAAAAAAATATCATTCATATTAGCAACAATAATATCGAGTTGAGTATCATTGTTAAAATCTTCAACAACTACAGATGATGGACCTGGACCAGTCGGATATTCTGGTCCAATTGCAAAAGAACCATTGCCGTATCCGAAAAGTATACTAATGCTATTTGCAAGACTATTAACAACGACGATATCCAGTTGGCTGTCACTATTAAAATCACCATAGGCTAAAGACCATGGACCAAGATCAGCTGGGTAAGTTTTATGAGGAGAGAAAAATCCTGTATCAAATACATTAAATATATCCACATTATCACTACCATCATAAGCAACTACAGTTTCTGCTTGTCCATCACCATTAAAGTCACCAGCAGCTATAAATAACGGAGCAAAATTCATACTATCACCATAAACTACTTGACTTGTAAACCATCCTGTTCCATTTCCAAGAAGCATTCCAATATATTTCGTGCCATAATTCGCAACTGCAAGATCTGCTTGACCATCTTTATTAAAGTCACCGGCAGCGATTGAAGTCGGATGAGAATTTGAACCCATTGTAAAATTAATTTGATTTGCAAAGATACCTGTTCCATTTCCAAGGAGAACACCAATATTATTAGTTCCATAGTTAGCAATGACGAGATCTTGATGTGTGTCGTTGTTAAAATCACCAGTAATAACATATTTTAAATCTGAACCACCACCAGATGCATATGTTGCTTCACTTGTCAGATCTCCTCCAACAAAATGAAGTAATACACTAACACTGTTATCATCTAGATTAGCGGTAACAATATCCAGTAGATGATCATTATTAAAATCACCAGCAGCTATAGCATTTGGTGCTAAGCCAGTTGAATATATTGTTTGAATTGCAAAACTACCATTACCAAATCCAAGAAGTAAGCTGACATCGTTATCACCTTGATTAGCGACAACCATATCTAAATATGCATCTTTGCTGAAATTACCAACAACTATAGCGTTTGGTACAGAACCAACCGAATACATTATTTGATTTGTAAATGAACCATCACCATACCCCAAATATACACTTACACTTGCGTCACCCCGATTAGCAACGACTAAATCTGGTTTAGCATCATTATTAAAATCACCAACAACTACTGACTGTGGTCCATTACCAGTGGAATACATAGTCTGATTTGGAAAAGAACCATCACCAATACCTAAAAGTATGCTAACAGTGTTCTGCCAACTGTTAATGACGACAACATCCAGTATAGTATCATTGTTGAAATCACCCACATCTAAAGCCCATGGACCAAAACCTGTTGCATACATCATTGCAACGGCGAAAGTACCATCCCCATTTCCGAGAAGTACACTTATGGTGTTAGCGAAGGAACCAGAATTAGCGACAACAATATCTAAATGAGTGTCTTTATTAAAATCACCAATAGCTAAAGAAGATGGGCCACTACCAGTTGCATATTTTGTTTGATTTGCAAAGGAACCATTCCCATATCCCAAAAGTATACTTATAGTGTTTTCTAAATAATTAGCTACAATGATATCTAGTTGTGCATCATTGTTAAAATCACCAACAACTAATGCTAGTGGTCCAGAACCAGTCGGAAATCTTGTTTCATTTCCAAACGACCCATTACCATATCCCAATCGAACACTTACATCGTTACTACCATAATTACCAACGACCATATCTAGATAAGTATCATTATTGAAATAGCCAACAGCTATAGTATCTGGATTAGTTCCAGCTGAATATTGTATTTGGTTTAGAAATCCTTTGCTATACCCAAGAAGAATACCGATGGTGTTAGTTTCATTGTGAATGACAACAACATCTAGTATACCATCATTGTTAAAATCAGTTATGGCAACTGAAACTGAAGATAAAGAGCCAGTTGAATACATTGCTGGACTTGCAAAACTACCATTAGTATATCCAATAAAAACTGTAATATCATTAGTCCCATTATTTGTAACCACTAAATCCATATGATTGTCATTATTCATGTCACCAATGACAACAGAAATCGGAGTAGAATTACCGACTGAATAGATCGTTGAATGTGCAAAAGATCCGTTGCCATATCCCAAAAGTACACCGACACTATTACTACCATGATTTGCTACGACAATGTCTAAGAAGTTGTCACCATTAAAATCATAAGTGGCAATCGAGTATGGATGTGAACCATAACCAGTCGAAAAGATAGTCTGAGTTGAAAAACTACTGTTGCCATTTCCGAGTAATATACCAACGTTATTTGTGCCTGAATTGGCAATAGCGATATCCATTTGTTTATCATTGTTGAAATCTCCAACAACAATCCCCATGGGAATAGAATCATATCCTGTAAAAAATGTCATCGCATTCGAAAATTTACCAGTTCCAGATCCATAAAATATGCTGATACTCTGGGTACCATAGTTGACTACGATGATATCTTGTGCTTTATCATTATTCAGATCAGCTACATAAATCGAAAGAGGACGTGATGAACCAGTTGAAAGTGTACTTTGACTTCCAAAGACTCCGTTTCCAAGTCCGAGAAATATCCCAACATTATTAACACCATAATTTGCAACAGCAATATCAGGTCGACCATCATTGTTGAAATCGCCAACAGTTACCATACACGGAGTAGAATTAGTACCAGTAGAATAAGTGACCGATTTTGATGATAAACCAGCATTACCATGTCCAAGAAACACAGCTATATTATTCGTTGCACGATTTGCAACAACAATATCCATCGAAGTATCATTGTTGAAATCACCAACGGCAACAGATTGTGGACGATAATTGTATTCGACTTGTATAGGATTTACCAAAGCGAAGTTCATATCACACTTGGCAACTAAAGAATACATAAACAATAAAGTGATGATCTAATAAATATGCATAGACAATTAATGCTGCTTAAAAAATACTTGGGATTGTCATAGTCATCCTAATAGGGAGTCAATGGTCTGTTTTTATTTCAAATTTAATTTTGGTAACAGAATAGTAGGCTTTTCATTCTGAAACCAGAGGATTTTACAGATCGTCACGAAATATTACGAATACGAAAAATTCCATATAAAAAGAACATACCTGGCGTTTTGTACATAGTATAAACAACTATCAGTGAACCGATAATCATTGCTATGCTTGAACATATAAAAGATAGAAAGGCACCACTCGTTACTACAGCCCAAAAGCAGGATTTCCTATAAAAAAACAGAACTACAATTATTTTTAATACGATAAAAGAAAACTACAGACTCAGTTTTGTTAACCATATATAGTGATGTTTCATCAGGCTTCTTCTTCTTCTTGGAAGCAACTTGTATTTCAATATCTGGATTTGAATTCGAATCCAAAATTTTGTCTTCATCAAGAACATCGAATATTTCCCCACCCAATGAACCACCAATTGAACTACTATCATCCATAGAAGCCATTTCAATCTATGAAAAAAACAATTAAGAAAAAACGCATTTGATATATGAGCACGGAAAATATCTGCGATAATCGGCAGTTTCTAGAGAAAATGTCAATGAAAAACTTGTTTCCAAGTTTTTTTTTATCAGTATATACATGAAATACTAGGAATTACCGTGAAATAATATCCAAAGACAATCGAAGACGAAGCAAAATAATTGAAAACAATTATTACGAATGTAAACGAAAACAAATAATTAAACATATATGTAAAGAGCAGAGGCTTTTATATTTTCTTTTTTATACGATTCACTGATGCGCAAGCTATTATTTTTTTTTATCTTCTTGTTTAATAAGAGTGGCAAAACAAGCAAGCAATTAATTTAACATCACAATACATCTCTTTACTTTTTTTTGTTATGTATGTGACGCAAATTAACTATGAGTAATGAGTGTAGAAAAAAATATGATACATCGATCATTATTCTTTCACATTAATGAAATACATAAAAATAATTGGATGCGAATGCTTGTTATTAGACAATCTTTGTTTTTCGTTTTATATGAAACTGTCGTATGTTATGATTTCGAAAATCGTCAAAAATTATTATTGTTTGATAAAAGAAAATAGATATTTTGGAATTATTTTATATATGATACAGATAGATTGTTCAAATTTTTGTCTTGTTTTATTGATGTACGATATACGCTTCGCATTAAACTTAAGAAGAGAGTATATCAGTCAGAAATTACTTATTTTCAAAAAATATTGACATGAACCGATAAACAACTAAATTCTGAATAAAACTGAATCGATGACTCGAAATTAAAATTAAAAGTTGATTATACAAGATTTATTATATTCTGTGGGATTCATTCATAGTTGCGATAAAATAACATTAATTCCATATAATCATCAACTCTTTGTCAGAGTTAATGCTGTGACAAATCATGTTGTATCCAAATTTCATGTCCGCATGCCTTGCCTAATTCGCCCAGCTACGTTTCCACTGCAGTGACATTCTCAAAAAAGAATTTACATTCATTTTTCTCTGTTGTAAATAAAATTTCTTCGTTAAACCAATTGTTGTAATATTTTTTACATATATTAAATAAGAAAATAAAGAAATCGAAGTAGTTTTTTATGTAGCTAGTTATTTAATTGTGTCTAATGTTGATATGAAACATGTTTAAGATAGAAATCCTACAACAAACGAAGATCTTCTAAGAAAAAAAATTGACTTCTTCGTATTTATCAGAAGTAACTCTATTGAATGATATAGCACTTTCAAAAGAAGTTAAGACCAACATTTTATTTTTAGTTTAGTGAAATTTTGAAAGCATAAATCTATTAACAAGATTAACTCATTTTCAGTCATAAATTGAATAATTTATCTTATTACTGTTGATTGAATTTGAGAATAACTGAATAAGACAAGATAGTAATGAGATATTGATCCACTTTACTGATAGGCACTATCATCATATTTGCTATAGTTATCATCTACCCTTATCTTTCAAAAACTATTTTAGTTTAAATATTCAAAGTACTAAAACTTTAGTCTTATTCATTTAATAGTCCTTTTTCGAAAGCCATAAGATAATATATTTTTCATAGTCAAGAAAATATGCTCATTTAAAAAGTTTTAAAGTACATTCTTTTCGAAGCCCAGTTTTGTACATTTTTAGCTAGCATTTAACTACATTTTATTGTAAAAATAATAGACTAAGAATGAGGGTATTCTTGAAAGTATAGCTAGTTATGTGAAAGAATATAATGCCACAGATAAAAGATATTAACGTCTAGAGCTTGGATAAAACTAGTCATTGAAGAAAAGAATATGAATTTATATGAATATAATTATTCTCTCAATATGTATAATCAAAAAAAGAAGCAACTGGTTTAGTTGAAACTTAATAAACTAACATATCGAATTTGTTTTTCTTCAATATCATTGACCTGTGTGTATCGAAAAGTTAGAATTTTAAATATCTTTATACTATTTTTGATAAAGAATAAAACTGTTTATTCATAAATATCCCTAATCTATTTAAAAATATTGTATATTGATCAAAATAAGACTACAATCAATCACTGTAAAATAAAGAAGTGAAGATGTTTTTGACATTTTGTTGTATTTTCATTCATTTGAATACATCAATATTTCTCACAAATAATAAGTACACATATATAAAAACGTAATAGTGAAGGTATAGAATAACAGATGTTAATATCTACAAGTTATTACATAAAAATACTAGTAATTCATCTGGTTGTTTCATGTACTGATGCTTAGCTTAGTCTTCTCATGAACAGATGATGAACTTAGTTAGTTTAGTTTGTATCAATTTATAATAGTTTTACTGCACTACGAGACAAAAAGAACTTTCAGATAGTAGATTAATCACTTGGTGAGACGTAATCGCGATTAGATATAACTCATCAAATCAACATATAATGCATCGAATAGGAAACATGGTAAGATAAGATTCTTATCTCCGGTGTTTTATATATCATATTGAAATTTGATAATAATTATTCATTGTATGGAATAAACTGAATAGTTGATAGGGTCATAAAGTAGCATGCAGAAACAATAGAATAAAGACTAATTATTGTCGAAAATAGAACATACACATTTGATTCTCTTATACTTGATTGTAAACAGAAATCTACCTATATGAAATGATCAACGTGATACTTCCTCAAAAAAGTAGAAGTTATGAATAGTTTAGTTCTGGCAAGCGGAAACAGAGCTAGACGCACTTAAATCTAATTCATTGTCCAGATATTGTTCTTGCTAATCGATTGAACACTCTCTGTGTTGTATATGCTTCTAATAATCGAATCGTATGATTGCGAAAAGATTCAACATTAGAAACAAATCGATCAAGTAAATCAGTTTTGTTTTAAGTTGATAAAACTAATTGTTAATAGAAGATCATTGTTTTAAAAAAATATATTATTTAGCTAAGTAGATTTACGATAATAAACATTCAAATCTTTTTTTGTTTCGACGAATGATTCTAATACGAAATTTCATTTCAATACTCTTGGTACGAATTAGATTGTAACAGAATAAATTATCAGTAACTTAAACTTATATTTTTTATCATAAATATTTAATAATAGTTAAATATAAATGTTTATTACAATTGCTACAATCAACAGATGAAGATTTCCATTAAGATAATGATTTTCTAATTATAAACATTGATAAGTAATCTATGTAAATACAATGATCAAATTTAGGCATGTAATTTTGTATTACAAATATGTTATCATTTATGAAAACAATGATACTACTTTACGATGTTGGTTGAAATGGTAATCTAAACAACTTTTATTCTGTTAGATAACTTGGTAATTCTCAAAAATCAATACATACTTACAAATATTAAATAAATGTATATTGAAAACACTCTGTAGATATATGGTCATTTGAAATAGCTTGGATTATTTTCCTTTTATTTATATCAATCATTAATTTTAACAATCAATACTTCAAATTTGAACTAAACAATATGTATGATCATTGAATTTTTCAATATCATTCTCGAACTTTCGTTTTCATTTATTTAAAAAATAATCAATACAAATGTTGTGTTCATACTATTAAATTTAATAGCCTTTATATCATCATTCATACATTAATATATACATTATTATTTGATATCTTCAATGAAAATAGTCGTCGTCATTTCTCATTTGTCATATTCTCATTTATACATAGATGGACATGTGTTTACATTATGTCTGATGTCGAAAAGGCCATATATATATATGTATATAAATAAAGATTGATTTGATACTCGTGCGCAATTTCTTTTTTTTCTCTTGCTCCTAAAAAGGTAACAATATATAAAATACGTAGGGCATGTTGATATCAACTACAATATTATGAAGGAAAAAAAAGAAAAATTAACCATACATATTGATACCGTTCATGTATCTCGAAAGATTTGACAGATGACCGACCCGTCAAGCTTCCCTATATGTCCTTTCTAATGAATGTCATAATTAATTCTCTTGTACATATTATGAATTGAAGAATAACGCAATAGAATAATTATATAACAAAGACAATACTTTCATTTTACTAACGGAGAACAAAAAAAAACAAATAGAAAAGCAGCTAGAGTAACTATAGACTATCAGACACAAAATACAGTCTTCAAGCTGCACCCATTTTGATTTATCTACCATGAAAACAGAAGACACAAAAAAAAATACAAGACAAAGAAAGAAAACTTAGAGGTAGAATAATAGGAAGACAAACGGAAGAAAACAAAAGACGTCATTCCAAAGCAGAGATCAAACACACAAAAGTAGAAATGGCAGATATATACTCACAACACGCTTGTTTTTTTTTTCTTCTCCTCCTCCATCTTCGTTTCTTTAGTATACACAATTGAAATGAAATCAACAAACAAACACAACAAATATTACTTATGCATAACCAATATGCAAAAAGTATTAAAGAGGCACGGTATTGAAATAATGTGTATTCGTTTCACATATACACAATACGAGAAAAATGAAGGAACAAACATAAAATACTAGTGAAGTATATGTGAATGAGAAAGACAATAAGCATACACACATACATATATATATGTCTTTAAATAAATGAGATGATAATATGAAAGATATTAATGAATATTTGTTCATGTTCGTCGAGCATTAAGTCTAGGTGATGGAAGATCACCAAAAAGTTCTGTACCATCTGTACACATTGATTTACTTAAATCACGAAATGATTTGCCAATACGTTCGAGATCATCACTATCATCATCCTTGAATGAATAAATGATAGAATAAAGATAAATAATTATTATTAATATTACTTGATGAGGAATGGCATATGTATTTGAAGGACGAAAAGTAATATCTTTTGCTACTGATGTAGCAAATGTTGATGTACTATTATTATCAATGTACCAACCTATAGAAAAATTAATTTGTATATCATATTATGAATTTAACGATTGATTATATTATTTACCTTGATTATCAAGCATAGGATCATCATTTGTTTCATCATCTATATTTGCATGACGTTCAGAGAATGCCTAAAACGGAAGAAATAAGAATATAGAATATTTAAAGAATAATGAATAAAATATTACTCGTTCATTAGTTGATGAATGTCGACCTAAATCTGTTGCACCTACATCAAAAATATCCGAACCAAATCCTGATTCCGTACTATTTCAATAGAAAAATGAAATCATTATCATTCTATAATATATATGTGTATAATTAGAAAGTACCTATTTTCATTAATATATGAACTTGAGGATTGTAATGTTGGTGATCCTTTAGTATTATATGGATGTCGAGGTGCAGAACGCATTAAACTATATACAATTGAAATAATTATATAACTAGCATAAATTCTATTATTTTATTTTACCTTAAAAATGTATCCAATTCTTTATTTAATGTTTCACGTTTTGTTTCTAAAAACTCTTCCTGTTCTCGTTGATACATTCTATTTAATAAATAAAAAAACATAATTCTTTTACATTTTAATAAAATAAAATTTATTACCGAATTTTTTCTTCTGTTTCTCGTTCAACATCTTCTATCGATTGACGAAATGCTTGTTGAGCTAAGTCACATTCACGTTGAATACCATCATCTTAAAGAAAAATAACAACATATATAATATATATATATATCTTTTATTTTTGTTTCTAAATTTACCTTGTGAACCAGATAAACGTGTCATATTTGTACTGTTCATCGTGTTTGGTAATACAATCTTTGCTATTTTTGAATAATTTGGATCACGATAAACACTTCTAACTGTTGCTTCATTCTAAAAATTGTAAAAGACATAATTATTTAAATAAAATATTTTATCATATCATACAAGCATATCTTTATTAATTAACATTCGACTTGGACCAATATTTGTCACATGTGTATATAAATTACAGCCTAAACACCGGTTCAATTTCATGTCACGCACAGGTATTGTCTGAAGAAGACTTTGCCATACAATATGTACCGATTGCTCAGATGGTACATCACATACATACCATTCATGTGATATATTGACAAATTGTACTAAATCAACGGGTACAAATTCTATATTAAGAAAACAAAAAATTTTATTAAATATAAGAAAAAATTCTCGTTTTATACGTTTCAACGTCTCTTGATCATCGTGTGTTTGTAATACATCAATATTAATATTGAGACAATGACAATATAGACGCATGACTAGAAAACAAATAAACTCACACACTCACACGCACACTTCTTGGTTAAATGAAATCTTAAAATAAAGAATTATTCAATTTATATCACAAGTCTTAAATATAAAGGTAGTTTTATGTGTGATAAATAATCTAAATACTAAAACAGGCATAAACAAGTCGAATATGCACGAGGGTAACCTATTTTTTTCTCTTGTTCTCGTTGTTTGCAATAGGTTATGACTCATTCTTTAGGCAAAATATTTGTTTTTCAAACGAGTTAATTCTATAATGAGAGAAACTATTAATAGAATAAAACATTTGTTTTTGTTTTTCGTTATTCAATTGAAAATTTTCGTAACATATAAATGTCGCTATTATAATATATATATATATAGAATATGATCGGTTCAATGTTTCTATCCAATCGTCTTTTTTCTTTTCTTCTTCTTCGCTGGAAGATATATTATTCGTTTTATATTTTTGAAAACAAAATAGATGATAGAATAGAAATAGAACAAATAAACAAATTACTAAGAGAGAATCTATTTTCGAAAATATTAAAACGTAAAAACGTTTTTTGATAAGTCAGAAAGAAATATTTAGTCTTTTCATTATTATATCGCAGTTTTTTTTTTATAATTTTAAACTATAAAATATAAAATCATAAAAAAAATATACTAGATTGTGGGTTTTAAAAATTAAAGAAAGATTAAATAGTTTTATTTACTTAAAAACAATAACTAAGATTAGTATTTATGAAGGTTTACTTATATAAATATGCTCTTCATAATGAATCATGCTTGAATATAAGGACACACCTACGTATTTATTTTATTAGAAGTTGTTGTAAAAGTCACGAACATTGTCAGAATGAAAATTAATGTCATTGCTTGTCGAGCTAATACCATAAATAATAATAAAATCTGCAAAAAGATCTCGATTACGCTAGTGTTTATCATTCTTTTTAAGAACATTTATTTTTAGTAACGATCAAATATATATATATATATATATGGGTTAGTACTGATCTGGATTACATCAGCTATAATTATAAATTCACGTTTCCTATGATAATCTTTTATTTATTAGAAATTTGTATTAATATAATATTACATACATTCATCCAATATAATCTATGTGAAGTAAATTCTTAGCACGTACTTATTAAGATTACTTCATTCTTTCCAAATATTGCCTATACTTAATCTCATCATTTAATCATAAAAATAATACTAACTCCTTTTTTATTTTTGTAGAATAATTGAAAAAAAACCCAGATGGCTATCAAGGTTTATATGACCAATATTGCTGGTAATCAATTAACAGTTGGTAATCAACGAAAATTAAAACATATTCTTGATACAAATAAAATTTCTTATATTGATATTGATGTTAGTGATCCAAAGAATAGTAATGAAAAAGAATTTTTACAACGAATGTTAGCTGCATCAAATAAAAAAATGAGTTTACCACAAATATTTAATGATGAAGAATATTGCTGTGATTTTGATGGTTTATTATCAGCAGTTGAATCATGTTCACTTAAAGAAATATTAAAATTAGATACTTAATAAACATGACAATCGAGAATAATTGTTGTATTTTTTTTATATAAAATACAAAGAATGAACACCGGTCTTTTATCTCTTTTTTTTTGTGATTAATTCTTTAATAAAAATTGATACAATCGAGAATGAGTTTTTTTTATAGATAAGATGACAACATTGAGATTTGTACCATATTCAAGCGCATTTGATACAGGATTTTGGCATGAATTAACACGTCGAAAACTTGATATCTATCGACTTGATTCATCCGATCAATCGATTTTCGGCTATTATTCAAATGGTAAAAATAATATATGAAATTAAATAAATTCATTATTTTATTTATTTCAATAGATGCAAATGATAATATGCCAGCATTATTTAATGTTGATCATCAGTGTTTTGATGAGTAAGAGAAGATCGAAAAAAAAACTTTTTAAGGGTCACTCTGAACGAACATCATAGAAAATTCGTTATTCTATGCGTGATGTTTTGGATATAAATAATAAAATTAGTGATGATTGATAGTATGAAATCAAAACAGTTTCAATGACTATGACTGATCTGTTATTTTGTTTAACTTGAAGGAAGATTCGAAGACAACGTTTTCATGCAGACTCCTTGTCTGAATTGTTTGTGCTAGAATATTGGATGAAGTCATGTTAATAGATCCGATAAATTATTGTTTCTATACTATCAATCTAATATTTTCACGAAATCGAGTAAACAAGAGAATTATTTATGATAATGTGCGTGATACGTGTTTAGTGACTTAGTTTGATGCAAGATTTTATGAGTTTTATAAATAATTATTTAGGAACAATCGAATTTCAAATCAACAACAACAATATTTTGTTAATGGTACTTTAAAACTTGTTAATACAATTGAAGAATTTAAAGCATTTGATATTGATAATGCAATGAAATCTGAAAGTAGTATTGTAAGAAAATATTGAAGAGATTTTAGATAAATAAATTCTTAAAAATACATTTTTATTAGCTTTGGAATGATTTTATACAAGGCAATGCACTTGAAAACCCACAAAAACTTAATCGATTTTATTTATTAATTTTTGCGGTATATATTAATATTTAATTTCTATTCTATAAATCTTAGTCTTCATTTTAGGATTTAAAAAAATATATTTATCATTACTGGTTTGCATTTCCAACATTTTTAATGCCAACATCATTTAATTTATTACAGCCTGTACAATCAATAAGCGAACGATTTTCAATAGATGAAGTAAAATAAATTTTTATCAAAACAAACTTTTATTTCATTATTTTTTCTAATAGATTACCGCAATTACTAAGGCACTTGAATCAAATCAATCTCATGCTTGTTGTCTTCATAATCAAAAATCAGTTATTAGTTTAAAAAAGGCTATACAACAATTAAACGATCAACCACAATCAGCAGTATAATCTTTCTTTACGAAAAGTTGAGCAGACATATTCGTTTTTTTTATTTATTTTAGGCAGACTATATTTTTATTGTTAATGATCCAAGTACTGATCCGGCGCATCCAGGATGGCCTGTACGGAATTTACTGACATTACTTTATTATCACCTGTAAGTGATTAAAAAAAATATATCTAAGATGATTATACAAATAAGTTTGATTTAGACATTCAGTAGATCAACTTAATGTTATATGTTGGAGAGAAAGATTTCGTGATGGTCAACGACATGTTAATCATTCTTTATATCTTCAATTAAAACCAGAATCAATCAGTACTAATGGTGGTAAGTAAAGATATTCAATCAGTGTTATTAATTTTGTTTAAATAAGAAAGCATCCTGATAATAATCGAATTCACGACCAAGTCTTACAGGTCGCATTGAGTATATGATTATACCATTAAAAACTAAATCTAAGAGTTTTAGTTGAAATCAAAATCTATGATAGATAAATTATCAGAATATATCCGCATTTTCTTGTATAATATTCAGTATATGTAATCTAAATCATTTATCATCATAGATTCAATTCCACCATCAACTGGTTGGGAAAAAAATGAACGACAACGTCTTGGTTCTCGTCAAGTTAATTTAAGTACATCAATGAATCCAATACATCTAGCTGAAACAGCTGTTGGACTTAACCTTAAATTAATGAAATGGCGTTTAGCACCTGAAATTGATTTAGAATCGTTAGAAAAGACACGTTGTCTTCTCCTTGGTGCTGGTACACTTGGTTGTAATGTTGCTCGATGTCTTATGGTAAATAGAAAAAAAGAAATCTTTTTCTAAAATTTTATTCTTTTTTTTGATTATTAGGGTTGGGGTGTTAAACATATAACATTTGTTGATAATAGTCGTATATCATATTCAAATCCTGTTCGACAAACATTATTTACATTTCAAGATTCATGTGAAAATAAACCTAAAGCTCAAGCAGCTGCTGATGCTTTACAAAAAATCTATCCAGGCATTGTAAAAATAAATTTTATGTCTAAAAAATGTGTTCTTTTTCTTTCTTATTAAAGAAATCTATGGGATACGATTTGACAATACCAATGCCTGGTCATTCAGTTACTGGTAAGTAGATCGATTATTTATTGAAATGAAATTTTGTTTTTATAAAAAGATTCAACCAAGGAAAAAGTCAAAGAAGATGTAAATGTATTACATGATTTAATTCGTCAACATGATGTTATCTTTTTATTAACTGATTCAAGAGAATCACGGTGGTTACCAACAGTTATTGCCTCTGTTGAACAAAAAGTTTGTGTGATTTAATTTTATTTCAATGATTTAAATTTAATCTTAATATTTATTAAGATTGTTCTATGTTGTGCAGTTGGTTTTGATTCATATGTTATTATTCGTCATGGTGTTCCAAATGATGAATTAAATTCATCATCATCGACCACATATAAAAATCTTTTACCAGGCAATAAACTTGGTTGTTATTTTTGTAATGATGTTGTTGCACCCGGTGATGTATGTGTAGAATAAAAAACTATTCATCTTATGTATAATATTTGTCTTTCAGAGTTCTATTGATCGTACACTTGATCAACAATGCACAGTAACTAGACCAGGCATTTCAATGATGGCTAGCGCATTATCTGTAGAGTTACTTGTATCAATTATACAACATCCGCTTCGGTAAGTGCTATTTGATTAGATAGTTTTCTAAACAATTTATTATAATTAATTACATCACAGTATTATTGACATGCTTAATATAAATCCATAGCATGAAAGATTATTTTTCATCTGTTATGTTGAGATGAAAAGATGTAAGATTGTGTGAAGAATTTTCTGTCACAGAAATTAACATATGAATATGAAAAATGTTAAAAGAAAACTATTCTCTTTTATCTTCAATAAGAAATTCTGCTTTTATTTATTCATCAAACGCAGATCATTCGATTACTTAAATGCCTGAATTTTTATGCGTAATATCTATACTAAATATAGATAGAATAATATTCTATTAATAGGGGTCAATGTTCAGCAATGATTCGTGCTGATCTTGAAGAAACATCAGCTCCTGAGGCAATTTCATGTCTTGGTATTGTTCCACATACTATACGTGGTTTTCTTGGTCGTTATTCAACAGTATTACCAACTGGTGAAGCATTTTCACAATGTGTTGCTTGTTCACCTATAGTAAATATTCTATTGTAAAATTTATTATAAAAAAAATATATTTTAGGTTCGAAGAGCATTTAAAGAAGATGGCTTTTCATTTTTATTAAAAGTATTTAATGAATTAAATTATTTAGAAGATTTAACTGGTCTCCTTGCAATGCAATTAGCAACTGATCTGAATGAAGTAATATTATAATTGTAATAATGAGCAAAATGTTGTTTTTTTTTAAACTTTATTTTAGATAATTGAATTGAGTGATGATGAAGAAATATAATTATGGATGATTTATCATGCATTTCCTTGTTATTTTTATTTTTATTATTTTATTCAGACAAAAAAAAAGAAAAGAGTATTATTTTATACAAAAAAATTTCGATTATTCTTGATTATAAATCAGACATTAATTTTCTAAAATAAAAACTGCTAGAGAAAGATGATTGTTGTATTAAAAATATTCAATAAATGAACAATAGAAGTCGTTTGTCATGAAAATACGATCATAATTTTTGACTGCATCGTTCAAATCAATTGGATAATGAATTTTTGTTATGTTAATTCATACACGTCATAATTGACTTAGAGAGAAGAATGTAATAATCTCAATGTCTCGCAAGAAGATTTTGTCCAATGATTTACTATGTTTAGTAATCGATTAGTAATTGATGATATGGAAATCTGTCGTCTTATTTTTAATGAAATATAGTTTTACGAAAAACATATCTCATGAGAATTTACATAGATAAATGTGATCATAAGTGCATATATATATCGGTTAACAATGTTTTTACAGCTATGTTTATAATAGTTAATTGAAATGGCCTTCTATTTCCAATTGATTTACTGAAGTATTTATGTTAAGTACCACGATTCAGCTTAAAAACTCAATAGAATAAATGACAGGAAAAATAAAGAATAATGACAAGTTAATGAAAATGTTGACCTTGTTTAATTCTTGACAAAATAAATGAATGTCATGATTTTAAATATACAACGGAAATTATCTTTCCCTTCTTCTTTTTTTCTCTTTACTTAATTTCTAATTCTCACGACATAATTTAAAATGCTTTATTGAACTATTATCGGAATTTACTGAAAATAATTAGAAAAGAATAATAATCTAATTTCTATTGTTCATCTATTTAATCTTCTTCTTCTTTTTTTCTTGTTTGGTTTTAAGACAGGCATAGTCAAAGAAAAACTTCATTGTTTTTTGGCTACGACACACAATCACATTGATAAACAAATGAACAAAACGAAAGATTATGCGAGAAATAAAGACAGATTAAAAGAAAGAAAGAAAAATATTTTCTTGTGATTTTTTTTGTTTTAAATGTATATGCGCGAAGTCAAAGGAAAAAAGAGAGAATAGAAGAAACAACACCAATAATCAATCAACAGAGAAACAAAAAGAGAGAGAAAAAAAATTATTTTTAAAAGAAGACATGTATGAAGAATTGATAAATCTATATAAAGACACACTAGTTTGTTTGCTTACAAAATGGTGTCAACTAGGCTATTTTAAAATAGATAAATAAACTGTAATGCAAAAGACAAAAAAAAAATGAAAAGAAAAGAAAACTATAATGTTTTTTTTTGTTGCTGCTATAATATTTTTACAGTTCTTCTTTGCTCTATTCATAGGCAGTTGTTGTAACCTGAGAGAACGAATAAATGAAACATAAGAAAATCTGATAACATTTTTCTATTAAAGTTTCGATGTTTCATTGAAATCATCGCGACTATGTATTCGTCGTTCACCACTAAGTTCTGATGCTGTTCGAGCTTTGATTGGTGCATTTGTATTTTCACCTTCTTCAAGATCAGTTGGTCCTAAGTCGGCACGAACAAGATGATCAACAATACCAGCTCCAATACCATCACCCAATATATTAACCGATGTACGAATTCGATCTCTACATTTAAGATAAACAAAATACAAAAACTATTAACGTCTAATATTTTTCACTTACAAAGCCCAATCAATAGCAAAAATAATTGTTATTTCTTTTGCAGGAATATTCACAGCTGACATAACTAAAAGCATTGTAACTAGACCTGCGGATGGAATTGATGCAGCTCCAACTGAAGCGACTGTTGCTGTTAAACTATTGAATAAAAGAACTTTCTAAATTTTGTTCTATTTCATTTTCATATATATTTTTTACCTAACAATAATCAATTGACCAATACCTAATTGTCTTCCCATAAGTTGGGCAAGAAAAACCGGAGCAACTGCTTCGTATAAAGCCGTACCATCTAAAAAATCATAACATATTTTCATTATCTATCCAATGAAATACTCTTACCCATATTGACTGTTGCTCCAATTGGTAAAACAAATCGTGTTACACGTTTATCTAATTTCAATGTTTCTTCCAAACATCGAAATGTTACAGGTAACGATGCAGCACTAATTGAATTTAAAAAAAAAATTAATCGAACATAGAATTAGAGAATAATGTATTTCGTTTCTTACCTAGAACCTGTACCAATACCAGTTAACCAAGCCTGAAGCATACCTCTGTAGAATGCAAACGGGTTTTTACGTGTAACTGAATAATATATTAATGGTAATGTAACCAATGCATGTATACCTAAACCTGTTAATACAGTTAATGCATATAATCCTAAACGTTGAGCTAGTTTAAGTAGATCTTCAATTTCTAAAACTTTTCCAGCAACTAGAAACATAATACCAAATGGTGAATACCTAAATAAATGTCATATTTTTTTGTTTCAATATGTTTTTTCTTCTTCTGTAAATTACTTACCACATGACAAGTTTAATTAATTTCATAACAATTTCATTTAAGATGAGAAAAAAATGTAACATTGGTTCTCCACGTTTACCCATAGTGCCAATTGTAATACCGAATGCACAACAGAATGTAATTAAACCTATTTAGTAATCGACATTTTGTGTGAAAATTTATTATAATAATAAAAAAAAATCTTCTCACCCAAGAAATTGGTACCAGCAACGTAACGTGTAGCGAATTTAACTTTTGTTATGTTTGTATGGGTGATATTATTAAAAACAACTTCGTTTACTTAAAGAGAAAAAAAGATTCAAATTCAAATCAAAATCATATTTTAAGTTAACTTCGTGTTGTTTTAACTTGTTCAAGTCCTGCTTGAATGATATTTTCAGCAAACATATTACTTAAAAAAATAAAGATTTTCTTTATAAGATATTTAACAAAAATAAGTCAATAATTGTTTTCTTACCGAAATAAATCAAAGATAGCATCAAGTGTTGTAACTTGATCGGCCACTGGATCATCGCCCCTAGCTTCCATGTTGATTAGGTCTCTATTACCTCTTTCACCTGGTCTAATAACTTGTACTAATACAATTCCAAGTATAGCAGCAAGTACAGTTGTAACAAAGTAATATGTTAATGCATATAAACCTAATTTGCCACTTGATTTTGGATCAAGAACAGCTAAGCCTATTGAAAAATAAAATCATAAAAAAAATTAAGATTTTTTTTTTTTGGGATAATAAAACGTACCAGTGATAAGACTGGATGTAATAAGTGGTAGAATAAGCATTTTGAGCATACGCATAAGAATGTCACCGGGAAATGACAGAATCATAATCGTTTCGGTGGAAGGTTCCCAAGTACGAGCAACAAAACCCAATATTAAACCCAAAAAGACACCGGCAATGGTCAATGTAAGAAGTAGATTATCAGAAAGAGCCCCAGCAAAACATGAACAACACTAATAAAATAAAATGAAATAAAATATTGATTGAAAATATTTCTTTTAATTACTCTTGCTAATGGTGCTCGATTATCAACTACTCTCGTTCTTGGTGGACGATTTTCATCATTGAGCATTGCAACGGTTTGATCATGTTTGTCATCCATACTTACGAGTTAACTGAACAGAAAAAAAAAGAAATATAAAATAATTGATAAATATCTAGGAAACTTTACCTTCGACACTATTCTCTCTCTCTCTTACGATATGAATAAAATTGATAAGGCTATACCCTTCTCTTTCCCTCGCTCTCTCTCTTTTTTCTTTCAAGTTATAAATATTGTTTTTTAAAATGGCAATCTATCCGTTTATATTAATGTCTGATAGTGTCAGTAGCAGTTCGACCTCTTGTTCTCTTTATTACATTCGTGTCCATTTTTAGTTGCCTAACGTATATATATATATCTATCTATATATATTATAACTGTAAAAAATACAATAAAGAGCGCGAATGAGAAGAGAAGTAAGAAAAAAAGAAGAAATGGAGGCGTAAAAAAACGAGAGAAAAGAAGGGAGAAAGAAACGCATTTACACATCTAAAGAGTGGCAACAGTCTTTACAAGACTTCTACTTTCACTATTTATATAACTGTGGTTTTTATTTTTCGTGAATAACTATTATAAATAATATTGTTGTCAGAAATTGTTTTCAACATAAGTTTACTTCTGACATATGCACACATAACGATACAATATGGAATCTAATAATAATGTTATAGAATATGATGCTGTATAAATAAATAATAAATGAATAGAGAAAACTAAGAAGAAAAAAAGAAATATATGTTAAAAGCAGACAAAACACCAATATTCATCCGATTTTTTAAGTAACAAACATAGTTAATTGCGTCCCACAGACATACATAAGAAATACAATTTAAGCTCTCAATAATATTTCCTGGAAAAAAGACTATTACTGTTCTAATAGTTAGAGAACAAAGATATCCATTATACTTTACTAGAATTTATATGTAATATAAGAACGAATAGCTGTTAATTCTTGAACCGGAAATTCCACTTATCTTATTCATAATTCTCCTTTTCTAGCCCTTGAAACATATGAGATAAGCGGAACAAAGTCATGCACTTAACCAAGACCTTCATTATTATGGACAAAAATAGTTTTGAAAAAAGACATGTGGGTGAGAAGAAAAAACCGCTAGAGATTAGAAAAATGACTGATTATAGATGATGTTTTTGTTGATAAGGGATTTAGTAACATTCTTTTTCTTTTCTTTCGTTGGCCTTTACATTCCAGGCAATTTTATACTGATTATAAAGACTCCAATCATTCTTTTACTATCCTCACGTCATCGATTGATATTTACTTAATATTCAATACACATCAATAGTATGGCAAATTCAATACATCTCAAGTATTGCCTTGACGTACAAATTTCTTATTCATTAATTCTATCGGGTCTTTTTTGTAATCGACGACGATCAAGCAAGAAACGTAGAAGAGAAAAAAAAGGGGAAAAAAATGAATGTAAACTAAATAAAAAAAAAAATCTATTTTCAACTGAAGAGTGATCGAGTAGAATTATATTTAATGAAACCATCAAAAAGCATTATGAACACGGAAATAAACTATGTTTAAGTTATTAATAATATTTTCATATTAAGCATTCATATAATTTCTTATTCTTTTTTTTCTCTATTTTTTAAATACGTTATTATATTTAATTTTTTGTTGTGAAAATAAATAGCAAAAATATTCTTTTCTTTTTTTTCTCTCTGTTTCTCTCCATATATTTTAATAACTAAATTACCAAGAAAAATTTATATATCATGATTAAAAGGTCATTATGCTGTAAATTGACAAAGTACTTTTGATTTTTCATATATGTCAATAAGAAAGGATTTGTTTTCTACTACTAACAGAAGATTAAGAACGAGCGAACATTCGTATGAAATTATCACATCATCTAAAGATAAAATACCCAAACGTGTTATTTGACCTAGTAGAGTACGTGTTTATTAATATGTAACTAGTTTGGTAAGGAAAAGAAAATAGCTTCTTGTTCTACTTTGGAGGAATGTTGTAAAAGGAAACATGTATATTTATTGACACCTACAGCATATCTTTCGAGAAGATCAACACTAGACTTACCTTATTTGTTGAGTTTGTCTCTTTTTTTTTAACTTCCTGTTTGCTTTCTCGCAGATAAAGTAGAACTAATCGTTAACGGTCTAAAAAACACAGACATTATTCATATATAAAAGAGAAGTTAACAAGAAGACTAATGATTTTTAGTAGAACTAGATATAGTGTTTTCTTTATGTCAAGTTGATATAGTTTCTTATAGACGATGATAGTAATGACAATAACTCTTGAATGAAGGACTGCTGCTGTTTAGTCGAGGTGACGATATAACATTATCAGTGGCACTTGTATGTGCCAAAGACCTTGTCACAAATTTACTGTCAGTGCTTTTGCTTTTTCTTCTCTCTCTCTCCCTCTCCCTTTTCTTACTGGGTGGTTGGTTTATTGCGTTACAAAAAAAAAATAAATACCAACAACTGTTAACGCCTGTATGCATATAAAGCTGTTTAACAGTTGTATTTTCTCACCCAACAATTGTAAAGCAAAAGAAAAAAAAGAAATAAGATCGACAGACGGAACACAGATGAAAAAAATGCTAAGAGAAATAAATATGATGAAACAGCTGCACTTCAAGTCAAATGTACGGTTTCTTCAAACGATTTATGTTAACATCGAATTGAATTTCTCTTTTGCTTCCGATTCTTTTCTCATTGACATGATCTAAATCATTTCTATGCGTAACTTTTCAAGACGAAAAAAGAAAAAAATGTTGTATTCGATACTCATACTCAATAAATATGTATTAGTAGACAAAAAAAACAAAATCTTCGAAACTTAAGATACGTAAATGTTATAATACTTAATCAGGTAGATAAATAGTTTCATTTATTATCAAAATGTATCTCTTTACTAGATAAAAAAAAATAATCAGAAGAAGAAGAAGAAGCAAGTTTTGATATTCTATCGTCTAAGTGATAATGCTTTACGGTTTTCTTCCTCCAGCAAACATATAAATGTGAGAAGCCCTTGACTTACTATATGACTTTCTTTTTTATTCTAATGAATTTTATACGCTATTAAGCAATTCTTTTTCCGTTGCCTTATACGAAGGACGATGAAAAAAGCAAATCGTACTTTGACGTAAGCTATTATATGAATTGTAAGATAAGACTTCTTTAGTTGTTTAACGAGTTATTTTTCATTTGCACAACTCATTTCTTTCATTTGGTAAGATGACACGATGTAGGAAATATAAGTTAAGAAAAATAATGGCGATTAAGTAGATAAAGACATCTCTCGATTTTTCTTTTGTATGAATGACAAATATTGAATGCTATTTCTATATATATATTTATTATTATAATAAAACAAAAGAATAAAATGAAAAAAAGAAATGAAAATTTTTTATGGTTTTAAACTGTCTATAGAAATCCATTCAAGCGCTCGGCCTGGACTTAATAATTTGCAATAATGAAAGCCAGCTACTGCTGAAATTGAATAATTACTTGGAAATCGTAATGTAGGCGAACGTACAGTTACAAATGATTTACCCTGACTATCTTTACCAAGATCATATTGCTTGAAACAAAAAAAGAAAGCAAATGATTAATAATCCTAATTTATAACACATTTTCTTACTAATGGTGTCCATATCCATAAGGGACCAGCATTAAGTGGACCAATATCATCTCCTATTATCATTTTTTTTCCTATTTTTTCATAGCGTTCTTTTGTTTTATTTCCTGCATGTTCCAAAGCCCAATCTAGTGCATGTTGATTAATTAAACCACATAAAGATTGATTATCTGTCTGATTAAAATCATGTTCTTTTCCATCAACAGCTTTTAATAAGACTTGTCTTGAAATCATTTTTACACGCATTTCTTCAGCTGATGTATGCGTTTCACCAGTATCAAATTCATCAGTTAAATCATATACATTTTGTGTTACAGTATGAATATTTAATGTACAATTACTTGAATTTTCTATTGATGAACAATTATTATCTAAATGTGGAAATTGTTCGGGTAATTTATAAACAATATGAAATTTATCAGATATATTTAAATGAATAGAATCATTAAGACCACTCATAATTTTTTGCCCATATGCACTCCATTTACTACCTATCTGGCAATTATCATTTGTTTGATTATAGCATGGTGGGATAAAATGATAGAAACCTTCAAGATCTAATGCATCAAAATACGGTTGAGAAAATAATCTTGTTTGTTTTAAATTATCTTCAAGCATTGGCGTCATTGTTTGATTATTTAAACGCATATTTATATAATCAGATATTCGAATTGATAATTGTTGATGTGCAATAGTTTCATTTATTTCTGATTTAATATCATTTTTTATAATATGACTTGACGGGTTACCTGATGCAGTATTCATATGATTCATTCCGGGAATAATTAATGTAAAATGTGGATATGTAGAATAAAAATGAAATGATTCAATAATACGTGTAACACGTGCTAAACTATCAAGTTCACCGGATAATATTAATGTAGATACGGGATAAATTGTATTTGCTAATTCATATTTACGTTCAAGAAATGCACCCGTTAATATTTGTCCAAATATTTTATTTTTATATTTAATTGCTAACGCTTGTGATGCTATACCACCTAAACTATGACCACCCAGAAAAATAGTTGCATTCATTGACATTCCTGATTTATATAATTTTTCAAGAATTTCATCAATGACTTTAGGACGTAATTGTACAATTGGAAAATTATCCGGAAATGATGGAATAGCTATCCATAATGAATATGATGATACCAATTGAACTTTTTTAAGTAATGGAACATAACGTTCAGGTGGTAACTCAGCACCGGGTAAAAATATAAATGATACAGGTATTGCTCCTGATTTGATCGGTTCAAGTATAATATCAGATGAACACGATATTAAATAGAATAATTTAAAAATAAAAAACAATTTTAACATGATTATATAAGTAAAGAAATTAGGAAACGTCAGATATAATATTTTTAACATTTAGATTATATAGAATCGGCAATTGCTGATGAGAAATATTGACATATGTTTCAATTACATAAGATGACATGAAATATACTCAATAATACGTCTAAAGTACATAATCAAATTTTATTTAGTTAACTGCGCATTGGTTATCATTTATTGTTATAATAATAAACCACAGTGCATTTCAAATTGTTTTATTTCTATTAAAATACTTTTCTATTGAAATGTAACATTTTTGTATACAAACAAGATCTTCGTAATAAAAATAAAAACTTCAAGTCATTCACACAGGTCATGGTGAAATTAATTTTACATTTTAATCAACAATATTATTTTATAAATAATGAAACATCTGCAAAGAAACGCCCATTTCTTTTTTGAGTGACAAATACTATGTGATACATTTCACACTTGTCCTTATTAATTAATAGTCATGCATGCTCACGCTTAATTTATCATCTATGAGAAACCGCCCATAAATATATGAACAAAAATTGTTCTGTTTTTTTGATAATAGAATAGACCTTTTTTTTTTCTTTTATTCGAAAAGAAATAATTGATTATTGAATAAACAAATTTTCTTTTATTTACAAAACAATAAAAATACAAAAACAGATTTTTTTTTTATAGAAATATACAATGACCGACGAATAATTCTGTTCAACGATAATTCGTAGAACATAAAATAGTTCATTTGACTAAATTAGAAAAGTATAATAAAGTAAATTTCAAACTAACGACAAATATGAGCCAGAAAAAGGAAGAGTGTGTACCCGGTGACTGTATTAAATTCAAAGTAACCGACTATACAATCTTCCTACAAAATAATAAAACCATCCGGCTCGTTTTTTTTATATTGCGATTAATTAATAATAAATCGACAATCATTGATCATATCAAAGGAAGAGTGTTATACCCGGTGATTTATTTCATATTCTAAATCAAATTAACCGGCTATACAACCTTCCATCGAAAGAACAATAATGTTCATAAAAAGAAAAAGAAAATAATAAAAATATTAAAAACGAATGAATTATTGACATAATTACTAAAGCTAAGTGTAGAACCCGGTGAGGAATATATTCATTCTCAACCTCTACCAAAATTCCACTTAGCCTTAGTAATATGTTAAATAAAAAAGACATATATATATATATATATTTCATATCAAGTGAAGGTGCTCTCAATTAGGATGAGTGTGAGATCTAGTCATGAACTTGCAAAAACCACATAGACTAAATAACACAATCATATGAATCGGAGAGCTCTTCTCTTCTCTCTTATCAACAACAACAACAGACAACAATAAACAAGACAAAGCACAGCATGCATACTGGGAGAAAAAAAGAGAGAGAGAGCAGCTCACCATGCAATAATCCAATACTTAATTTGTATTTTTCTTTTTTGAAGATACGTGTATGTATAAATATATATATATATATATTAGTAAAGTTGACTAGATTTATTTTCTTGTTGGTTTTTTTGAATATAGATTAAAATATGATCAACAAAAATAAGACAAAGAACGACGTTTTTTTGACGAGAGTAGACGACAATAAACGTTAAGAACAACGATGCAAATGAACCACCGGACGAGTTGGCCCGACGATTGACCCTTTACGCATTGTTTTGTATGTATTCTCTCTTGCTTCTCTTCGTTGTCGAAAAAAAAGAAGAAGAAGAAGAAGAAGAAGAAAAAAAAACCGTAAAGACGAGCGAAAGTTTGTATATATGTATGTGTACCCGCATCCGACCGTTGTCGGGCGATGTCTAATATGAGCGACATGTTCAGATATGTACATTTCTCTTTTTTTCTCTCGATTTTTGACCGAACATTGACCTGTTTCTCGTTCTTTTCTAAACGCTATTTTTGCCCGATACTAACAAACTATATAGACTTACTTGTCTCTATGATTTTGTTCAATGGTAGAAATATGAACATCGTCTTTCGTTCAACATTGATAGATTTCTTTTTTTTCTTCTATATATTCTTTTGCTTTTATATTCAGACATATTGACCTTAGAAAGAGAAGTATAAAATGGCGAGTAACGGAAGAACGAACAACTGAATAAACAGAAAAAAGATGGTTGGTTCATAGATGTTATGTCTGACAAGCATACTATTTTGGATAAAAGCCAAATGTATGTATAGTCTACATATATAGAAGCCATTTGAGGTAAAATAATATCAAAACAAACGTTCAGTGAACGTCTGTTATGTTCAAGTGTAAAGCAATTGGCTGAATCTTTATGATAAAAATAACATACCTGACAACTAACCGATAGTAATAATAGGCTTTTGTATCTCTTTTTATTTTTTTCGTTAAAATAATGTTAAAACGAATTTACTCCTCCGGGTAACTCAAACGATGAATACATTACCGGACAGAATGAACAATTACAAGCGAAAAGTGTATGTAGGATTAAGCATGTTGTTAAATGTTCTATTTGTTTGACAATGGCTTTATATTTTATGAAAGCTACTGAAGCTTTTAAGTATTTAACGGAAAATATATAAATGAAAGACAAAAGAGATCACTCGGCACCAATCAATCAATTGTCTATTTTTTTGTCTTGATAGTTTGTCTATATTCATCTTATCTATTTTTCTTTTGTCAACACTTCACTTCAATCAATAATGGTGATGATCTGTTACATCAGTTCAATAATAAAAACAAATTTTATCTTGCTGAGATATGAAAACAAAAAAACGAAACATTTGTTTAATTGTATAGCAAAAAGGTTAAATATTTTTTGTTGGCAACATTAAATCAGATAAAAATTAGAATGTTTTTCTTGTCTTGATATCATGCTGAGTTTCATCAATAACAATATAATTTATTCATGAAAAAATTTTGTTATTTGAAAAACAACAAGATTATCTTATTTCTCATTATCATCTATTTAGAAGATCTAATATATTATTGTCGATAATGACGACCATTACTCTAGGTAGTTAGCAACACATATTCATTCATCTTCATTTTGTTTGTATGCTTCTGTCGTTCATCAGTGGATTAGATTAATTCACAAGGGAGAATAAGAGCTTATTAACAACATAAGATACATTACTTTTGTTGATCTAAAGAATAACCATTAGGTTGATGTGTCGATAATATCATCGTATAAATATATTTTTTGTTTATATTTACAAAAAAGAAAGAATTTTATTTCGAAAACAGAAATATCGTAAATGAACATAAGACATAATTTTCTTTGTTTTGCTAGTGAGTGAAAGTTTTAAGTAAAATGTAAAGTGTTTTGATTGATATTCTTTCAACTATAAACATTTGAACACTTGAAAAACAAAATTTCTCTTTTCTTTGAACATTCAATAAGTATTTTTAAGTGCTTATTCATTGTATTTAAATTAAAAAAAATAAAGTCGTTTATAGTTAAAGTGCATAATGTATTTCATTTAGAAAAACGGATTCTAGATTTCATCGTTAATATAATAGTTATATAAAATATATCGATTATTTAGTCCAGCAAGAATTAAATATGGTATTAGTCATTTTTTTAATATTCCTGTATGGAAGAATCAGATTCAATACAGAAAAGAGAGAATAAGCGTAATTCTTCATTTAGTATTTGAAAAAGCATTGAGAAGAAAGTCGTAAGATGGTCTTCGAAGACATTTTACGAGCTTTATTTACACTTATAAAATATTCTTATTATGAATATATACTGAGAAAAGCAAAAATGAGTACTAAGACAAATATATATTAATGATTCACTTGTTAAGCTTCTAACTAACAAGTATATGCATTTATCAGATGATCGTCTTTCACGAATTATTTAAACAAATTGAAAAGACAATAGAAATTCAGATTGAATTTCTTACATATAGGCTTGAAAAAACTTCATTCTATATTTATGTTGAAATACATATTTGACTATAGTTCGAAATTCAGCGATAAGTCAATCGGAACCAATATTAGATTTGTATTGTTGAATAAAGTGAAGCATCCTTTTTGTCACTTAATACTTCCTGAACTATGCAGGAAACAGAAATATGTCACTTTTCACCAGATACATAAATAGTGAGCAAAAAATCATCACTAAGAACCTATCGATTAAGGTATTTCGATAATCTGTAATTTACTCTGCTTTGTTTAACATTGAGGAAAAATCGAATCTTTCATATAACGAAAGTACATGTTACAAAAACTTCTAATCATTTAAATATCATTATCGGTACGATATTTTATGGTTAACTTAGCCTAGATATACTGTTTTAGAAGTATGGAAATCTGACTAATATTGATAATGACATTTGAGAAATTAATAAGTAATGAAAATGCCTAGAAAAATAAGTTATACATTTAAGTAGTTATATATATATAAAGAATAGTTTAGTGACACATTCAATTCTGTTAATTATTTCGAAAACCAATCTATTTTGATTGTTCTTTGACTTATTTTCTTTTTCTTTATGTAAAACGTTGAAAAACATATTAACAAAATATGACAGATTATGGCAACCATATTCTGCCATTTATTTTGTAAAAATTTTCTTAATACTTTTTTACTCCGATCTAAAAGACTATCGTAGAGCAAATGTTCTTTATATATTATTAACAAAACAAATTTAGATAGTCTTAATAATTTATTAGTTATATTTTAATACTTATTGACGTTTTATTATTTAGTTTAGGAAAAGATAGGTTTACATTATTTTTAATAATCGTTAAATGAACTTCATCTTGTTGATTTATTCGATTAAGTGATGTGTTGTAATGTTTATGAAATAGAATAGGTGATGGATTCTGAAGATATTTCCACGGATGAATAATTGTTTCTGGATAATGAATTGCATCTATTTGACGTAAATGTAATTCACGTTCAGCAATTTGTACTTTACGTTCCCATGTACGAATCTGACGATGAAGATTGATTTGTTTTGTTTTTAAATCAACATAGTTTATTATAGATGGTACACGATAGGATATAGTCATTTCACGAAGAGGATCATTAATTTTTTCATATTGTAGAATTTCCTAATAGGAGAACAAAAGCTAAAGATAATTTTTATTCAATATATATATATATATATACATCTTGCATTTTTCGTTTGACTTCATCATAATGTTTTAGTAGTCGAATTTTATTATTTGTTTCTTTACGTATTGATGTTAGTGTAGCAATTTCTTTAAATAATTCCGGCTAAAAGAAAACTATCATTCTAGTTTTTTATTTTCTTTATTTTTCTACAACCTTTTTTGCATTAAGTTGCATATTTGCATCTGATTGCTGTCGCTTGTAAAATATCAGCATTTTATTTTTAATATTGATTTCCTTTTGTTGTTTTTCTATATCAATTTTTAATTGTTCAAAATCAACTTCTGTTACAGTATCAACTATTTGACGAACCTAATTTTTCTTATAATAAAAGAGAAAATAGAAAAAAACAAAATTGCTAACTGACTTTACGAATTGATTTCTCAATACCATCAATATTAAAACGAAGACGAACTGTTTTTTGACGTTTCTATTGTATGATGATATTAAAATGCAATTGTGTTTTTTTTCCTATAGATTATAACTTACTCTTTCGTCCAGCGCTTCCTACAACAGAAAAGAAGATAAAATCGAATTGGATTTTACTTTTCGGCAAATTAGTCAGAGTTCGTTTTCTTAACTTTTTCTGATAATGCATCTCGTACGCTAACTAAGTCTCCTACTGTTGTTTTCTTATTTTGAAAAAAAATTTATCAGTTTCAGTAGAATTATTCAAATAAAAACTCACATAATAACGAATTCTATCACGAAAAAATTCCAAAAATTCTTCAGCAGTAAATTTCTTTTGTATTTCAGAGAAATCTAAATTAATTTTTTGAATGAATTTTTTCAATAGAATTAATTCAAGTTCGAAATGATTTATAGTTTCATCATTTGTCTCAATTGTATTCTAAATAGAGATAGAAAAGATACATTAAGAATTATTTCTTTTATATCAAACAATGCATTCATCAGCATATTGTATTGTATTAATACCATATTTTCGATTATAAGCTAGAAGAACTTTAAAACTAGCTTCAGCTATTTCACGTTTCTTTTCAATAAGTAATAACTGTTTCATTTTTTGTTTAGAAATTGGATGAATAAAAGGTTTAATTTCATCTAAACATTCAATGATGAATTTCGAAATGAAGCTTCTATTTTATTTACTGTTCAGAATAATATTGTTCGAATATGGTTTTTCTTGATTTTGAACTATTCTTTTTTCATACCATGTTAAATAATTATATAAAAGACGATTTTCAGCATGAAAAAATATGATTTGTTCACTTTGAAACATTGAAAAAAAGTTGATTAACAAGAGAAAAAATAAAAATATTACTTAATCTTTCTAAGTTTCTTTTGAATTAATGAATTTGATAAATTCGATAAATCTTCCATGTCTTGTTTATTATATAAAGTATTATCATAACTATTAATAATGGCTGCTATATTTTTGCCTATTTCTTGACGAGATAACATATCTTTTGATATTATAGATTAAAATATTACTACAGAATACTTTTAGCGCCGACTTCGTTAGACTTTCAATTATTGCAAATTTTTCATTATGATTGTTTTAATAAGTAATCTACAATGATCAATCATCATGCAAATATGTCAAATTCAAAAACAAATTGTTTTTGTGAATTAATATAACCCTTTGGTTCCGAGTTTTTACTAAAAAGGTTATACTTGGATGTGTACATGCTTGACATGGCTATTATAATGATACTATACTTTTGGTTATTCGCGAGCACTTTTCTGATCTGACTAAGTGGTAGAGTCCTACGGGGTAATTCTTTTCTATAGTATCATGTGGTGATGTATAGTGCAAGCAGACTAGAGTTACCATATGACTATTGGTGCAATCATCATGACTGCACAAAAGCAGCGTTGTGCCCAAAAATGAATGCGTTCTGCTTCCTGTGAATTGTAAAAGAAAGTAGTTCGACATATACGGGTACCGTAGCCGAAGGATTAATCAGAAAAAAACATGAAAATATCAATAGATTTAAAACGCTTATTTCTTTATCAATTCTCTTTGAAATATAGTAATATGATACTCATCATTTGCATTAATCTTTTGATTTTAAAGTCATATTGCAATAAATTGTTCTTCTATAGTACAGTGACCTCTGTCAGCGATACAAAAACTCATTTAAATTCTCTATAAAAACTGATATAATATAGTCTAGAATCATAAACTTTAATTAACTTACAAGTGGATTTTTTTCAAGATTTTCCTACTGTTACTATGGAATATGAATACTTGAAAATATGGTCGGTAGTACTTAAATTTGACATAAGACAAAAGAAATCAATTAGATTTCTTGATGTCTAAAAATATTTTACTCATGCTGTTTTTAATCGATTATTTCAGGTAAAATAAAAGGACTTTACTTTTCCATGCATATAGCAAGTTGATTCAATATTCTCAAAAAAAAATCAACAATAATGTCAAATCGAATTCATCAACCATTAATATTTTCAATTGATAATCGTTTATCAGAACAACATTTAACACGACTTGATTTATGTTCAAAAAATTTAAAAAGAATCGATAATTTACCAAATGATATTAATTTTAATATTATTCTATTTGATTACAATGACATAAATAAATTAGAACATTTAGAACATTTTCCACAATTAATTCAAGTAAAATAGAACAAATAAAAGTTTTTCAAATGCAAAAACTAAACTTCTTTTTTTGTCTTCAGTTATCAATTTCACACAATCATCTTGTTGATATTCGTTTACTTACTCGATTGCGATCTATAGAAAAACTTAATCTGTCACATAATTTAATTGATTCGATCGATTGTAAAAAGACTAAAGTTTCATTAGGAAGAATAAAATCTTTTCGTTTTTTTCTTAGCTTTAAAACCGTTACAAAATCTTGTGATGTTAAATATTTCAAATAATAATATTAGTAGTATTGCAATATTAAACTCTTGTCATGCTCTACAATCATTAGATGCAAGTGGAAATTCAATACAACAGATTGAAGATTTATCACAGTTAACAGAACTTAAAGTAACATGATTATAAATTCAAATGAATAATATTTGATTTATATTTCTAGTATCTAAATTTACATAAAAATTTTATTGATACATTAAATTCAGTTTCACGTCAATGGCCAAAATCACTTCATACACTTGTCATATCAGATAATGAAATTCAAGATTTAACTGAAGTAAATCGTTTGTTTTTAAACTTTTCTTTAATTTTTTTTATTCTTTTGATAAAAACAAAAGATTTCTTATCTATCATCATTTATCAGTTTGAATACATTGTATATTATTGACAATCCATGTTTATCAACAGTTAATGAACGACATGGTTGCCATCAATCGTTTGACTATCGACCATATATTCTCAACTGGTGTTTATCTATTCATAATTTAGATGGAATATTTATTACACGAAAAGAAAGGTAATATTTTTGATAGAATAGACAAGTAAAAGATCCAAAATGTTCGATTTGATTAAGACATTTCGGATTTCTTTTTCATTAGATTTAATAGAAATGCTTATTAAGACATTTTCTTCATTTTTATTAATCAATTAGTTTAAAAGCTGAATGGCTTCTAAGTCAAGGTAAAGGTCGATCATTTATACCCGGTGAACATACAAAATTAGTTGAATATTTAACACGAGTTTGTGGAACAGATGGCAGTGAAGTAATTAAAGAAATTGTTTTTACGTACTCTTCTTCTTAATTTCTTATTTGTTTAAAGAAAGATGATCTTAATCTATCACGTATTATGTTACAACAAGATATTTATACTCAACAACGACAAAATGGTTTGATAGCAATTGAATTTTTTTTACTTTGAATCATTTTATTTCTAGAAAATACGAGTGACTACATGATGTTAACATCAGATACAATGAAAGATGCGAGTGAAATATTACCTAAAAGTTTAATATTGATTTTATAATCTTCTAATAAGAGAAATATGTGTATTTCTAGATACTCAACGAAATCTTCAACAAAGTACATTGATATCAGAATCAGAATTTATTAAATTAAATATGCAATCTTCAATTTCCTCAGATGAAGAACCTATACCATCAACTCATGGTAATTCTATTAAAATCTATTACTTAATTGCATTTTATTCCTACAATTAGAATATCAAAATCAAATACCAAATCCAGGATATACCCGATCAGCAAGTATCAATATTGTTCATACTCATGATCCAATATCTGAGAATAATTCTGCTAATCGTTATACTGAATATGATGAACGACCTGTAAAACCACTTGATCAAAATATGCTTCAAACAAAACTTAATCAATATCCAGTTGATAGGTAAGATATCGAACTATATATAAAGAAAAAAAACAAAAAAAATTTCTTCTAATTATTTTTAGTAGTCCAAATGATAATAGCAATAGTTCTCGTTTACGAGCGTATAATGCTAATCATTATTCACCAATAACCACTACAACTGGACCTACAACTTCATCAATATTCTCTGGAGAATCAAATCGTACACTTGCTAAACGTAAGAATTTTTGTTGTTTTTATTTGTACAAATAAATAGTTTTTCATAATTAACAGAACATAACAATCGTGCAAAGCATGAAAGAAGACATTCAACGAATACCAACGCATTACAACTACACAGTCATCCGAATGAGAATCTTAAACATCATTCGACAACTACGAATAACATTAAAATCAAACAACAACAACCATTAACAGGCACTTCAAAGGACAATAAAAATCGTAAGAGTTACTTGAAAATAAAAATTCAAGTTTACTTTAATGGGACAAAACTAATCATCATTTTTATTAACTTAAACTCACACTAACAAATCTCTGATTAAATGAATTCAAAGCACAAGAGTAAGTACAGATGTTCAATTATCCATAGATTTTTCAAAATAAAACTTTTCGAGTATTGAATCTAAATTTTGACATAATTTAGTCAAGATTTCAAATATCTATGCTACGAAAACTAAGTTTATGCTGACAATTTTAAGTCTGTGTTTTTCGAATTACCTCCAAAATCTCGAAAATAAGAATCTTGAAAATGTAAAATCTCGAAATTGGAAAAAAATAGAAAATAATCACAAAGCGTAGGGAAGCATTCTGCTATCACATTTTCTTACGCTAACTGCGAAGGGTGGGCGTGGATGATTGTATCTTTTTCAACTACACCCACACCCTAACCCATACCCACACTCACACTCACACCCACACCCACACTTATATCCATACCCACACCATAACCCACACCCACACCCTCACCCAGACTTACACACATGCCCACACCCTTCCTCTTTCGGAAATACAATTTTTCGCGATTTCGTCTTTTCGATATTTCTTTTTTTCTTTATTCTTGTTTTCGAGATTTTGATATCATCCCTGTTTTTCGATAGTTTTAATAAGAAAATCTACGAATCATTTTTCTCAACTAGAACATACTGATAATGAACTGCAATCAAAATCAGCTCCTATTAATACTATGCTTTTAACTCAAAGTACCACAATGAATAATACTACTGACTTAGAAAAGTTAACTACATCAGTAGACACAATGCGAACATCAATTCTTCAAGCGTATGTTGAATAGAAAACATTTTTCAAGGTCTTTAATAAAAATTATTTATTTAGATATCTTGATTTACACGAAAGATTTACAAAAACAACAGAATTACAAACATCAGCATTGAGTACTCTTTGGAAAAAAGTAATTTATTTTCAAAAAAAAAATTCTTTTGATTATATTATGAATTATTTCAGTGTGAATCACAAAATTTAACACATCAACGTGAAACTGAAAAAATCATACAAGAAAATCAATTACTTAATCAACGTATACGTGAACTTGAAAATCGATTAAATACGAATCTATCAAATCCGGTATGAGACAAAACAAATTTTTTTAGTTATACTTAATAATTATTATTTTCTAGATTATACAACCATCGAATTCTACTCCAAAACAGAATCTAAATATACATCCTCCACTTCGTGCTCATATATCAAAACGTGATACAAAAAGTTTTTTTCTTCATTGGATACCTAATCCATTAAATGAACATCATAACATACTTGGTTATCGAATATATGTTGATGATATATTAAAGGGAGCTATTGATCCAGGTCGTTTCGAAGCTATTATTGATTATATTCGTGATGAAGGAGAATATAAAATAAAAATTCGTACATTTAATCAAGATGGAGAATCAGCAGATTCAAATATTGTTGTTGCCAGATTTCGTCGTCAACATTCAACAATACCATCAAATTTCGAATCAGCAAGTTCGATTCATCGTACACAATCAGATCATATTCATCAAAGACCATCAAATGAAAATTTATTTATTTCACCAAGAGAACAAATTCAAACACCAATTATTATGATTAAACGACGAACTGATGTTGAACAACAAGACAATATTTCAATGTCACCAGAAAAACAAGTAGCAGATGCGAAATCGTTGTTTTTTAATGATTATGTAGTTAGTCGTAAACCACCCTTATCACCTTCAACTAGTCCTAGTAAGACTGATAAAAGATCACCAAATAATGAATCACATAATAACAATGATTCATCATCTATGATTACAAAAAAACATAGTCCTTCACGAGCTGGTATTATGTCTCGTCTAACAAGAAGTGCGCTTAAACTTAAACAAAATAATAATCATAATCTTTTAAATGTTCCTCCTATTGAACGAAGTAATAGTCCAACTGAATCAATGACTGTATCAAAAGCTCAAGTAAATTCCTTATTGTTATATAAAATTGATTTTGTTTTCCATTGTACATTTCAGGTAAATCCAACTAAACGAGCACTTCTTTTTCAACCTGATCGGATCAGTCATGATTTAGATCAACAAATCCCATCAGCTGATTTACAAAACTCGGTGGATATTCATGATTTAGTAACACATTCTGATATATTTTTATCACATTCCCTATCACCACCTATTTCATCTGAATTACTCTCGAAAAATATCGATAGAATTTCAATTCATGAATAATATAAATAAATAAACTATTTTTATATAACTATTTTGTCAGATATTTGATTTGAAATAAATGTGTGCGGATGTTTCTTATATTTATTTTTTATTTTGACGTAATTAATTAAAACAACAGTGCGCTTAGATGATTGATCATAATGACATGCTGAATCAAATGAATTACATAAAATCGGTTTGATGCTCAAGTGTAATTTGGTTTTCCAATTCGAATATAAGCAGGGGTGGCGCGACCGGGGGAGGGTGTCGGGAGTGTGAAACCCCCCAATCTTCAAAAATTTCTATTTTTGGCTCACAAAATCGGAAAATCTTCTTAGGTTTTTTACCAAAGAGAATGATACACCCTCTCAAAAATTCAAAAAAACTTCGTTACAACCCCTCTCCCCAATGTTAGCTGACTCGCGCCACCTCTGAATATAAGGTAATAATACTGTGCTTTTTTTTCTTCTAATATCTGATTGACTATACATCAAAAAACAAATACAAGAATATTTATTTCAACAAATTTTGTTATCCAATCCTATTCGTATAACAAGTAGCTGTTATTCTATTTCAACAAAGACTTAATTATGTCGATCTGCATGTGAAACTATAATAAATATAAACGTTGCTACGTCATTCTTAATTTGACTATAATCGATATGTAATTAAAAAGTATAGTATGCCTTACATTTGTCAGAATACTCTTAATCAATAAGAACGAACACGTGGACTGAGCCATTCTGTGTATATATTATAAGGAAAATTTGGAATAAACAGTTCAAATATAACTTAAACAGAAATCAAGATGTCGCACTTAACAGGAATATCAGTCATATATGATTCTATGTTAATTGAGATAACCATCAAATCGGATTGGATTTCAGAAAATGGGTAAAAAAAAAGTGAGGGACTAGGAATAAGCGATACACATACAATCGTTTTTCATAATATTAATATTTTCTATATAAAATTCTATTTTTATTTGTAGAATATTGATAATGAAACCAGATTCATCGACAATGTCAACTAATTTCGATCGACCAAAATTATTACTATTTAAATTTTTAGCACATCAGTATGATTTTCTTTATTTAAATTTGTTTCTATTAATTCTCCTTTAATCTTCTAAAGAATTCATCCATTTGCTTATGCAGTTAATACATTTCTTCGACCAGCATTAGACGATTGTATTGCATTGATACGTACTAATCCGCAAGATACATTTAATGTTTTATTATCACTTACACAAACATTTACTCGATTTGCACCGGAATCCGAATTGATTTACGATGACATACAACAATTTGCTAGTAAATATGTATATTTAATTGTATAATTAATTTTGTTTTGCGTTTAGTTCAACTTAAAGACGCTATTGATCAATGTTTTACATGTCTTGATCCAAATACAATTCAACAATTATCAGAATTACTTGAATCAACACATCAAAGTCTTTCAGAAATTATTCAACAACAAAGTATTATATTGACTTACTTCTTTTCTCATTTAATATAATTAATTTTATCAATTAAAATAGATGCAGGAAATACAACTTATACGAATATGTATAAAAATATGTCTGGTATTGATATTGATAAATTTCAGTTTTTGAAATTTCTTTGTGTTTTTCTATTAAGCTGTATTAACAAATCTTGAAAAGATTAATTCATTACCATTAGAAATGCAAAAGATTGATAACAAAATTCCTTCTCAAAAAATAAATAGACAAGAAACAATAATGAATGTTAATGGAAGAACAGGTTTGTAATATTTTAATTTTTATGTTTATCAAACATTGCTAGGAGAGGTTATAATTATAGTAGATTCATCACTTATCCATAATGAATATACGAATAGAAATAGTTCTATTGCTTCGAATCGAACAATAACACCTCCACCAGGTATACCACAAATTCAAATGAATAAACCTTCAGTAATTATTCCTCCAATAACGGCAAATCCAAATCTATTATCTCGATTGTCACAAAATACAGTTCTACCACCGCCAACACCATTAATGAATCAAATGAAAACTCTTTCAATTTCTTCAACACCTGTTCCAACGACAGCATTATCATCACGACCGGTATCAACAATATCTTATCTAGGAGAATATGAAGTTGTCGATACAAATACACAGCCAACAAAGAAACCAACAATTGGTATAGCTTCTTTTCCACCACGTCAAAATGCATCACTTTTTCCTTATATACCTTCAATTAATGATAAATCTTTAACAACATCTACAACTATGTTAAAACCTAATACTATCAATGATCATTATTTAACATCACCAATAAATGAACTTATGAAAGTTGATCATGGATGGCCCCAATCAAAACCTAATACTATCAATGATCATCATTTAACATCACCAATAAACGAACTTATGAAAGTTGGTCAAGGATGGCTTCAATCAAAATCTAATAATAACAATAAAACTGAAATAATCAATCAACAATCACGTGCTACACCTACTCCTATATCTTCGCATGATAGTAGTTTTCGTTCTATGAATATGTCAGGATTACGAACAGCATCAGCAACACCTTCAATGTAAAGACTAATATTCGAATAAATATTAAATTTTCTATTTTGTTAATTCATTTAGTCATGAAAATACTGATGATGATCGAAAGGAGAATATTCAACGACAAGCTTTTGCAACTGCACATTTTGCTGTTCCAAAACCCATTCATACTGAGTAAGTCAAAATAATATTCAGTAAGGAAACAAATAGAAATACATTCAATTTAGTTGGCAACCACCTAAAGATAATCGTTCTACTGTAAGCGAACAATCGTCTTTAAGTCAAACAAAAACATCAGTTCGTGCTCATATAACCGATGAATATATTCAAGAATTTGGAAATAAACAAGGTAGATTTTCTAATTAATTTCATACGATAAGAAGAAATATTTTTGTTTTATTCTATAGGTCGACCTGCTTTATGTGGTGAACTTTCTATGACATTTGGTACACCACAAAATGGTCCACAATCAACTTGTTTACCAATTGGTGTTGGTTTATCATATGATGAATTGACATTACTTTCATGTGATGTACATCGAAGTGCTCAACATGTTCGATTATTTGATGTTCAATCGGGACGATTAAAACATACGATAACAAGTAATCAGGTATATAGAAAAAAAAACAAATTTAATTTTTATAAAGAAATTCGTATTTTTCAGCATATGAGACTTCATCGTCCAGGTGCTGTTATGAGTAATCCACGTAATAATATTTTAATTGTTGAAAGAGATTCAATTTATATAACGGAAACCGATGGTCGCTTAATACAAACACTTGGTCATCGAAATATTAAACAATTATATGGTTTTACAAAAATTCATAACTTTTTCTTTTAAAACATATAAAACGTTCTCTTTTTAGGTATTGCTTCATTTCGTGATCGTTATGTATTAACTATTGACTCGAAGACAATCGATAGTCAATCAGGAGAAACATGTCGTGTACTTTTATTTGATCCAAATAGTAATAAATTAGTTTTCGAACAAAATATTACAATTAATCAACAATCAGAAAATATTTTAATGGAACAATATACACATCATATACAAGGAAAAATTATACCAGAATCAATGAGTAAACCAAGATTTCTTGCAGTACATAATGATGATATTTATATTGCTGATCTTGGTATGAAAATATTTCTTCTTAAAGATTAATGCTAGGAAAATAGAAAATAAAATTCTATTGAAATCGAAAGGTATAGTTTTCATGATATATGTAGACGAAACTTACTACTTACAAGGGTGTGTATTATTAGAGACAATACTTCTAACATTTTTCGAATGAATATTAACTCAATAGCTTAAATCTTCTCATACAAATTCTTGCGTATAAAGATTACATCGTATCTTTAAAAAATTCTCTTTTCAAGGTCGTAGTTTGATATATGGAACAACACTTCGAAATCAATTTGATTTAACTAGTACAACTGTTTTTGGTGGACACGGTCGTACAGTTGGTGAAATGAATGAACCATCAGGTTTATTTATTGATTCAGGTGGAAATATTATTAGTGCTGATAGTAAAAATGATCGTATTCAAGTAAAAAAAGAATAACTTTTATTTGAAATTAAATATAGAGATTATATTATTTCTAGTTATTTGCATCTAATGGACAATATAAAACAACATTTAAATTAAATGAACGTATAAAACGTCCATCAGGAATATGTGCAAATCGTGATGGTACACAATTTTATGTATCGTGTTATTTAGGTGGTTGTGTTCGAGCATTTAACGTTGGATATTAAACCGAAAACTAATTCTTTAGGAGTTTTCTTTCTTTTTCTTAAATCGTGTAATAAGATTGTAGCGAACTAAACTAAACATTGTTATATAGTCAATCCATTGTTAGTTTTAGATTTTCACATATGAAGTATTAGTCTTCGATTAGAAATTTTTTGAAACTATAGGATATTCTTTGAAAGCATAACGAAATATATAGAAATTTTTATTCATTATTATTAATAAAATTTTCTATGGAAATAATTATATTGTTTAAAAATTCTTCTCATTCATTAATAGTGAATAATTACTTGAAAAAAGAAGTATCTTTTGTTTATTATTTTTTTCATACAAATGTATAAAAGAAAAAAAAACTTTTGCCATTTTTATTCAATATAAACTGATCCATCATCAGGTGTTAAATACCCACAGGCAATAAGCACCGCATCAATCAATGTCCAAATACCAAGACCACCAAATGAAAAGATCTTACCGAAACCTTCTTTAATATGTCCTAAATAAAATCGATCAAAACCAAGACCACCCAAAAATATACTTGATAATAAAGCATTGGATTTTTTTCGTCCACTTGTCCAATTACATTGTATATTTCGATAGAATTTTCTTTGTCCTAAACATAATTGTGTATCATCCGTAATTGTACAATTTGATTTATAACGATTCGAATTTTGATGATGGCGACAGGCAAGATTTGGTGTACAAGTTAATTCATCCAGTGATGTTTGATAACAATATCGACATATATACAAACGTTTAAATGATTGTACAGGTTTACGTATATTATTTAAACATGTACCATTTAACATTCGACATGTACTTGATATTTGTTCACCATAAGTACAATCATTTGACAATGAACAATCAAGACATTTTACAGGAATTTGATTACATGGAATAAGACCAATGATAATACACTGACTATGAATTGAACATAAGCATTGAGAAAATATCAAAATAATTAATTTAACATTGATCATTAGTTCATTGTCTATAGAAGTGTCATGGAAAAAAGAAATGAAATGATCGATTCTTATTTTGTATAACTACTCTTATTTTTTTCATTGGTTAGAAAATAAACCAATCAGTAGACGCTTTAAAAATATTATATTATATTATCTTTTTTCTTACCTGACTAGTTCGGTTTGATACTATATAATAAATTACATTATTCGGTTTATTTTCAGATTTCGTTCAACTAAAAATCTATCAACAATGTCATCATCAGTATGAGAGAAACATGAAATATATTTTTTCTTTTAAAAATTTATTCTTTTTTTAAGGATAAAAAGTTGAAAGATCCAATTCGTATTGTAATAACTGGAGCTGCTGGTCAGATTGCTTATTCATTAATTCATCAAATTTGTAGTGGTGATGTATTTGGACAAGATCAAGTTCGTTTTTATTTCTTATGAAAATATTTCAAAATTATGATTTTTTTGCTAGCCTGTTATTCTTCATTTACTTGATATTACACCAATGATGACTGTACTTCAAGGTGTTGTCATGGAAATTGAAGATACTAGTTTACCTTTAGTTAAAGGTAAGGTCATAATATAAAAGAATAGTTCGAATATAAAAAAAGTTCGTTTATAATTTAGGTGCTATACCTACAGATGACTTAGAAACAGCGTTTAAAAATGTTGATGTTGCTTTATTTGTTGGTGCTATGCCACGTAAAGAAGGCATGGAACGTAAAGATTTACTTAGTGCAAATGTAAAAATCTTTAAATCACAAGGTACTGCTCTTGATACATATGCAAATAAAAATGTTAAAGTAAAATCTATTCTTTTTTCCTGTCTATATTTATTTCATGAAGTTATATTTTTTCATAGGTTCTCGTTGTTGGTAATCCAGCTAATACAAATTGTTATATATTAGCTCATTATGCTCCATCGATTCCACGTGAAAATTTTACTTGTTTAACACGTTTAGATCATAATCGTGCTAAAGGTCAAATAGCATCTCGACTTAAAGTATCACCAGATGCAGTTAAAAATGTTATTATTTGGGGTAATCATTCATCAACACAATTTCCTGATGTTCGTTCAGCAACAGTAACTATTCATGGTAAAGAAACACCAGTTTATGAAGCTGTTAAAGATGATAATTGGCTTAAAAATGACTTTGTTTCTGTATGTAAAAAATTTATTACATCAAATGAATTCTTTATTCCGAATTTGTTTTTTTAGACTGTTCAAAAACGTGGTGCAGCTGTTATTGCTGCACGTAAACTTTCAAGTGCTATGTCAGCTGCTAAAGCTATCTGTGATCATATGCGAGATTGGTGGCATGGAACAAATGAGGTAAATAAAGAAAATATTTTTCATTTGAAATTATTTATTTTGAAATATTTTAGAATGAATGGGTTTCAATGGGTATAATAAGTGATGGTTCCTATGATATTGAAAAAGGATTAGTATTTAGTTATCCAATAGAAATAAAAAATGGTAAACTTTCAATTGTTCAAGATCTTAAAATGGATGATTGGTCAAGAGAATTAATTGATAAAACACAAAAAGAATTAGTTGAAGAAAAAAATGATGCTTTAAAAGCTACCGATCCCGAATGACTAGATGATCGAAAATTAAGATCAATGGTTTAAAACTAATTGAACAGTATTTGACTTTCATGATTTGTTTTTATTTGATTATATACGTATAATTATTGATTTTCAGTAGTATGACATTCTTTTTTTCCTAATAAAAATTTACTAAATATAGCATTCAACTAATTCAAAAGAATAATATCTGTTTATTAATTAGAAAATAAAATTAATTATGGCAGCTAATCTAGTAAAACTTCAACTTGTCGAACAACTTTCACCATTAGTCATTCGTGTACTTGGCTGTAATCCAAGTCCAATGACATTACAAGGTACAAATACATATCTTATTGGAAAAGGCAACAAGTGAGTAATTACTATAACGGTCTAGACTATAAGTCATACAAATTTTTTAGTCGAATTTTATTGGATGCTGGTCAAGGTGTGCCTGATTACATTGAAGAACTTAAAAATACAATGGAAAAAAATAAAGTACAATTGCAATCAATTCTTATTACACATTGGCATCCTGATCATATCTATGGTATTAAAGATGTTCTTAAATTAGTTAATCAACGTAAGTATTCAACTATTGAATTTCGAATAATAATTTCATTATTTCTAGCTAATTTACCTGTTTATAAACGTAAACTTCTTGAAATGCCTGATAAGACAAAACTGGAAACTTATGGTATGCCAGAAAATCCAGATACAATCACTAATTTTACATTTATTCATAATAATAACAATGAGCCATTTACAATTGAAACCGAAGGAGCACATTTAAAGTATTTCAACCAAAAAATATTTTAATTTTCTATAGTTTATTTTTAAAGATCTATTTATACTCCTGGTCATACAACTGATCATCTTTGTTATTGGCTTGATGAAGAAAATGCACTTTTTTCTGGTGATGTTATACTTGGTCAAGGTACAACTGAATTCGAAGATTTATATGATTATATGAACTCTCTCAAACATATTCTTAAACTTTCACCTAAAAAAATCTATCCTGGTCATGGTCCTGTTGTTGAAAATCCACAAGAAACAATCGAACATTATATATCACATCGACAACAACGAAATAATCAAATACTTGCAGCACTAAAACAATCTAATGATGGACTTAATCCCGATGAAATAACAAAAATTGTCTATGCGGTAATTTTAGTACTCTCATTATTCATGTATACACTCTACATATATGTATTTTTTAGGATTTAGTAGAAACATTATTTCCAGCTGCTCGTCATAATGTTTGTAATCATTTACAAATGCTTGAAAAGCAAGGTCTTGTCTGTAAGTTACGATAAATTTTATTATAAGTCCTTTAATAAAAATCTTTCATTTCAGCTTTTAATAATAAAAATGAAAAATGGTCATTACATGCAAGTTCATCTATTTAAATTCTTCATTTTATTGTTTCTTTTTACAAATAAAATATATTTAAATTTATTTCTTATGTATATCTTTCACTAATAATTATATTTGAACAAATGCAGAATAAGATGATCACAGCGGTATTGAAATATAACATATTTCGAAAACGTGGTTCTAAAACACCTGATCGATACCAAAATGCCTTAAGAAAAATAAGAATTTTTAATTCAAAAAAAAAACGGAAAAGATATTTATAGATTTACCAAACATAAATGTGAAGCAAGTAACAGGACAAGACAAAGACTTAGACAAATGAAAGTCACTTTAATATGATTGAAGAAGAATATACTACCAAATGTTGTCTAAAAAGATATTTAAATAAAGAAATAAAATTGAAAAAAAAATATTTACGATAACAAAACTTGTCGTGAGAATAGTTATAATTACAAATGATATTCGATCCTAAGAAAATTAAAAAAAATTAGTTTTATGCTAGCGAATTTTCTTTAGTAATAATTTACTCGAGATCTTGTTTCGCCAAACAGTGGTCGATCAGCAAGATCAGCCATTTTTTTCTTTGTGAAAAAGTACAATGTCTTAAGTATTACTCATTGAGATGTATATCATTTTATCTATCAGGATAGGTTACTTCAAACCAATAGAAGATCTGGAATCATTTTAAAAAAGATATCAACTTCGAAACAACTTATAACGCAGTGGTCGCTATATGCTTAGTTTGACTTCAATTTTAATAGTTATCTATCATTAAAATTTTACAGTTAATCAAGATACATGTAGAAGTTGATAAAAGGAAATTTTTGTTATACAAAGAAAAAAGATAAAAACGTATCGAAGACTTAATTAAATATACATAAGAGAACTAGATAGCATTCGAGTGTCACTTAGTTGCAAAATACGATGTAAAGCTTCAAATTTCGAAGAATTGATAATCTAGAAAAACGTATTTTGCAACCTATTGAAACTTGTACTCTGCAATTGCAACCGTTCTTACCAATATGTATGGATGTCGTCTAGTAGCTATAATAGGTGCGTGTGTTGCTTCTTTGGGTTTTTTTCTAAGTCGATGGTGGGCTAACATCTGGTTTTATTATATAACGATTGGCATCATTGAAGGTATGTTTTTTCATTCATAGAATTAATTTATGATTTGATATATATATATATATATTCAGGTGTTGGTTTTGCATTAATGTATTTACCAGCGATTGTTTCAGTGAATTTATATTTCGAAAAGAAAAGTGCGTTTTCTTTGGGTATTGCTATAAGTGGTTCCGGTGTTGGTACATTTGTACTTTCTTATGTTATGGATGCAGTTGTTAATATACAGTCGTGGCTTAGTTATCCAAGTGCGCTACTCATCGAAGCAGCTATTCTTTTATTTGGTATTCTATGTGGTTTTTTAATGGTAATTTCTTTTCTTTTCTTTTGTAATAATAAATTATTAATTAATTCTCTGTTTAAGACTCCGTTACCTCAAGAACCAAGTGAACAACGACGTCTCCAACGACAAGCTGAGAAAAATGTAATATCATCAAATGCACCAGTAACATCAGAGAATAATGTTGCTAATGGTAAATATATCTATAGAATTTATTATTTTTCATTGATTAATATACTTTGTTTTTTAAGAAATAGTCGAACCAATGTTACCAAATGTTTCTATTCAGAATTCACCTTCAAAATCATTTTTTGGTCAAATTATTGAACAGATCGATCTAAATTTACTGAAAAATACGGCATTTACATTGTTTACTGTATCAAATTTTCTGGCAAGTCTTGGTTTTAATGTTATTTATAATTTTGCTGATGATCTTGCAAATGATTCAAAAGTTATTAAAGGACATCGAACATATATTGTTATGTCAATTGGTTTATCGAATATTCTTGGTCGTGTTATTATTGGTTATTTAGGTGATAGGAAATGGGTAAAAGAATATTTCATCATTGACTTTTCTATGTCAAAAAAAAGCTTTATTTTATTTTATAGATAAATCGTCTTCTTTTATTTATAATAACATTGATTATATCGGGTATCGCGACTATCATAGCTCCATTATGTGGTTCTTCTGTTATTACACATATAGGTTATGCATCTTTATTTGGATTTTTTTCAGGTGGTTATGTTGCTTTAACATCCATTGTTCTTGTTGATATAGTAGGAAAGAATAAATTATCAGATGCTTTTGGAGTTCTTTTACTTTTTATTGGAATTGCAACGGCAATTGGAACGCCGATTGTTGGTAAGAATTTCATTTTGCTTTAGATTAACTAAAAGTTCTGATTATATCATCAGAACTTTTGTTTGTCTACAAGCAAATGTCAATTTATTTTATATTTTATTTTTAGGAGCAATGAGAGATGCATTTTCAGATTTTACTCGACCATTTCTTTGGCCTTATCTTATTTTTGGTAGTTGTACTGTCCTTAGCGGGGTCATACTATTTGCCATTCCCTTTTTACAGCGAAAGAAACCAAATGGTCATCAAACCGAAGTTAATGTTGAGGCATCTTAAACAACACGAACTTTAATTGTTGGTATAGATTTTTTTTATCGTTGTATATACGATTCAATCATAATTAATGCTCAACAAATAAAACCATTAAATATTTACAAACAGCAATATGTCTGATAATCGATCAAATATGACAAAAATATCATTGACAATATCAAGAATAAGAAAGATATTTGAATGGAAAAAAATAACCATTGAATCGATAAAGGAAAATAATACTAAAATCATCTATGAATATTCAACAACAATCAATAAAATGAATGTGAAACTCTATTAGACCACATTAACAACTTCTGAATCAATGAAATTTTTTTTTGTTAAAAAGAGCAATGTCTGAACTACAATTTATATGAGACATATTTTTCCAGAACAAATCTGAGACGGAGGAAAAGCCAAAAAACCGCACATCTATAAAAACGTTCTTGCAACTTCACCATCGAATAACATCATTTTCTATATTCTGCTAGCTATTTTATATTAGAAGATGAATAAGAAAACACGTTGAATGATGATTTTTGTAGTAGAAATAGTGCACTTTCTAATGACGTATTGGAAGGTAAATCTACTCGTGATTTCTATACTAAAATATTGCTTTTACTGGGAGTGATTGAACAATTCAGACGTTCTCAGTACCTCGTCGTTTAGCATCGATAACAAGTATTTTTGAATTCATTTCGTCGTACTAAGTTTCTATAATTTGACATACTTCGAATAAATAATACAAAAAGTTTCATTCATACTTGGATTTCGGAGACTATGACTGATAGTTTTATTATTCAGTTATTCATTTCTGATATTCACTTGAAAATGATTATTCATGCGTTAGCACAAGGGGGAAAATGCAAACTTTAAAGCATAAAGTACCGTAAAGTTCTGTAAAGTATCAAAGTAGTTTAAAGTACGGAGAAGTAACGCCAAGTATAGTGAAGTGTGTAAAAGTAAGTCAAAGTATGTCAAATTCCCTTGAAAGTACAGCAAAGTACTTCAAAGTATGTCAAAGTCCCTTGCAAAGTACAGCAAAGTACTTCAAAGTAACGTAAAGTACATTAGAGTTTCTCAAAGTAGCGTAAAGTACATTAAAGTTTCTCAAAGTTCGTGAAAGTAATGCAAAGTAGTTTGAAGTTCGTCAAAGTAGAAAAGTAGTCTGAAGTTTGTCAAAGTAGCATGAAGTAGTTTGAAGTTCGTGAAAGTAACGTAAAGTACATTAAAGTTGCTCAAAGTTCGTCAAAGTGAGGGGAAGTATTGTAAAGCATTATGAAAGATCTGGAAATGAACGAAACAAAATTAAATTACGTTGGGAAAATATGAATGATTGCTTTATCTGTTTAGAAAAAGAAAAAAATCACTATCTAAAGACAAAAAACGGAAGTAATAGGTTTATTAATCAACATCAGCCGTTTGCTTCATGACACGAGCTAAACGATCATTAGATAGTTTCGTTAAATTGTTCGTTAGCAGCCAACAGGCTGGCTATTTGTGGAGATATTTAATGTTGTCATTTATTTTGATTTTGAAGTATGACTGCTTTAAAGCGGGATTAATATCGCCAACAATCCTTATTCCATTAAGGTCGAATTTTGTTGAATTCAATAAGTCTTCCTCATCACTACTATCGTTATTTTGAGGGTCAAATACAGTTCCATCATTAAGCTCAACTTGTGTGTTATCTTTAATATTATCATCATCGTTCTCCTCATCCAATCGAAACTCTTCACCGATATCAACAGGTACTTCACTCTAAAAAAAATTGGGTATTTGCTACTATCGAAAACTCTAAATGAGTTTCCGATAGTAGCAAATACCCAATTTTTTTCAGAGTGTTGGGAAGAGTAATTAATCATTCTTGAATTTTTACTTAATACATCAAATATATATTTACTCAACCTGTCTAAACGGTTTATTCAATATTGATTTAATACATCTAACATTTTCTTCTTCTGTTTTAACTCATTTTAACTCGTGTGTGATTGTTTATGTTTTACCCAGCGGTGGCGCGAATCAGCCAACACTGAGGGGAGGGTACAACGAAATTTTTTGAATTCTTGGGGGCAGGAGGTGTAGCGAAATTTTCTGAGTTTTTGGGAGGGGTGTAGCATTATCTTTGGTAAAAAACCTAAGAAGATCTGCCGATTTTGTTGACTAAAAATAGAAATTTTCGACAGTTGGAGGAATATCACACCCCAACATCCCCTCCCGCCGGTCGCGCCATCTCTGGTGTTACCTTTTATCTTTTTTTAAATAAATCATTAAAGTGCTTATGTAATACTATAATTTATGTAGCTTTTCTTTTTGCATATGTTGATATTTTTAATATCATATTATTATTCAGCAAAAACAAAACGATCTATGATCATGATATCTAGAATATATATCTGCAGTTATATTAATAAACTGTGAAGTGGTTTGAAGTAAGTGGAAGCTGCTTAAAGTAGTTCAAATTGGCTCGAAGTCCTACAAAGTAGCTTAAAGTAGGCTAAAGTAGTTAAAGTAAGTTGAAGCAGTGTAAAGTGATATAAAGTACGTTAAAGTAGACTAAAGTAGCGTAAAGTAGCGTAAAGTAGTTTAAAAGTAGCATAAAGTAGACTAAAGTAGCGTAAAGTAGCATAAAGTAATTTTAAAGTAGCATAAAGTATTTTAAAAGTAACGTAAAGTAACTTAAAGTAGTGCAAAGTAGCATAAAGTGGCTCAAATTCACTTGAAGTCCAAAAGTTTGCATTTTCCCCCTTGCGTTAGCATCACATGTAATTGGTACCAAAGGATGGTTAGTATTCTTCGCATCTGCATTTATACCCACTCAGTTGTACAAATAATGATCTATCTTTTATCAATTATGACTCTTTTTCAACAACCACCATACAATATCTGTTCGAAATATTACTCCAACTTATATGTTATTTGGTGAATGATAATTTATTAAGAAATGTGAATGATTAAATAGCTTGATTACATATAAAATTTTATGATTGAGTTCAAAAAAAGAAAATGTCATCCTGTCAGTATCGATTAATAAAGCTCAGCACTACTATCTCCACCAGCAACTAATACTTTTCCATTTGCTAATATGGATGCCGTGTGAAAATATCGTGCAAAACTCATGTTTCCTACGGTTATCCAAGTGCTTATTGCTGGATTGTACAATTCAGCACTATTGGAAGAACCACCGTTATATCCACCAGCAACTAACACTGATCCATTTGCTAATGTGGATGCTGTGTGATCTCTTCGTGCAATACTCATGCTTCCTGTGGTTGTCCAAGTGCCTTTTGTTAGATTGTATAATTCAGCACTATTCCGATAAATAGAGCCGTAGGATCCACCAGCAACTAAAACTAATCCATTTGTTAATGTGGATGCTGTATGCCATTGTCGTCCAAAAATCATGCTTTCTGTTGTTGTCCAAGTACCTGTTGATGGATTATACAATTCTACACTAATAGAAGATCCACCAGCAACTAATATTAATCCATTTGCTAATGTGGACGCTGTGTGATATGCGTGTGCGGCATTCATGCTTCCTGTGCTTGTCCAAATACCTGTTGCTGGATTATATAATTCCGCAGTATTTACAAAACTAGCACTATTAGATCCACCAGCAACTAATACCGATCCATTTGCTAATGTGGATGCTGTGTGATATCCTCGTATGAAATTCATGTTTCCTGTTGTTGTCCAAATACCTGTTGATGGATAGTACAATTCAGTAGTATTAAGATAGCCATTATCACTACCAATTCCACCAGCAACTAATACTGATCCATTTGCTAATGTGGATGTTGTGTGAGAATATCGCGCAAAGTTCATGTTTCCTGTTATTGTCCATCCTAAATTACATAAGAAAATAGAAAAAACTATTCTTGAAAAAATATTAATTCAGTCATATAGGGTAGGTGTAGATCCATCTTTCCTTTAGCAACACCCACAATCTTTATGTGAGTAATAAATAAAAAAAGAGCATCTCTTTAAATCAATAACGTGTATCACTCATGCAGGATCGAGTGAATTCTTATTTGGGATAATCATCATTGAAATAAATACAAAACATCTAGTATATTACTGACCTGGTACTGCTGTTGTTGTTGAAGATGATGATGTTGTTGATGATGTTGATGATGATGATGATGTGCTTGATGACGATGATGTTGTTGACGATGATGATGATGAGGGGCTTGATGACGATGATGTTGTTGACGATGGTGATGATGAGGTGCTTGTTGATGATGAGGTGCTTGATGATGATGATGATGAAGGTGATGTTGATGTAATTTGATCTATAGTAGCAAAATGACATTAAAAAAAAGATACCAGAATTGGGATAAGGCATTGCCCAAAATTCAGCATATTTCGTTCTACTAGTAGTGTATCTGATTATGAATGCATTGGGATAAACTTTACATAACTTCAGATATTTTTAGAAACCTTACGTTTTCATATGAGAATACGTTGAATATATGTTATAGTATAATTTGTATGGCAAAGATATATGCCATTCAAAAGCAAAACTATAATACTTTTGCAGTATTTATAATATGTACTTACTCAGAGCTATGTATATTGCTGACTGATTCATAAATATCAAAGAAGAATTCAGATTAAATGCAATTAAAATCGAACTATCATTTGTATAAAATAATTGACAAGTTTGATTTATTGAATAATAATTTAATGTTGATATTATTCCATTTGAATTGATCATTTCGCATATACACTGACTTTGCGTTATATTCCATAATGATTTATATATATTACCAATCAATATATTATTATCTCTTTTACCGATAAGAATACAATCACCAGTGGAAAATATCAGTAAAACAAAAAATATCCAAAACATCTTTTGTGACTTGATGTTTTGAGATTCTCTTACAAATGTTTTAGTAACTAGCATTACTGCTTCTCTTTTGTTTTTCATTTTCTCCAACTCTCTCGTTTAATATTTAATCACGACAAAAAAGTGCTGTAAATTGCTTGTCAGATTTCTGGGAAAAAACAACCACTAATGCATATTCCATATACAAAACGAGTAGAACAGCAACAAGTAAAAATAAGTTGGCTATACAAGAAGAAAATATTACCATAGTTTCTTTAACTATTTATAGAATTAAAATCGCCACCATCAAATGGAGAAAAGAAAAAGAAACAGTTTTCTTTGTGTATATGTAATGGCTTTTTAAAATTAAACTGTCTTCAGAATACTCATTCAATATTATGTAAGAAAAAAAGAATGTAAGAAATTCTGATAATTAACGGATTGCTTTAACTAAACATTTAGTCATCACATGTGTTTTTGCAATAGAATCTTGTAGAAAATGGAATGCTTTTTTCTCAGTATTTTACATGTAATAGTTATCGGCGTTGCCATCAACAATAATTGCATAAATTTGATCGAATACCAAACTTTTGGCTTTATTCAATTTTGTCAATCATATTAGATATTACTTTGAATTCATTTGAGGATTTAGGTACGAGTGATATATTATCGAGAAAAATCTCTTAGGACAGGAGAATTATCATCTTGTTTACAATTAATTTGATCGTAAAATCAATTTCTATGATACTATACTATTCAAGAAGATAGTGATAGATGATCTTTTTGAAAAGAGTAGGTTTACAAATTAGAATAACGGATAAGTGAGAAAAGAAAATGCGTTGTAGAGCTCACAGATCATTGTTAATCTTCGATAGCAACCTATTCGAGTATTCAATTACTATCGATATCCAATGTTCATGTATTAAATATCAATTGAAAATAATCAAACTTGTTTTCTTGTCAATAAAATTCTATTAGAAGAAAAATGTCTCGTCAATCTTGTTTGCATATTATGTAATATTTTATTAATTTCTTGTTTAAATCTTGCATTCTCAGTGGTTCACACACTGCAATATCAATTAGTTTCATGATATAATAAAATATCGACATCAAAAATGAATGGTGTGATTCAAAAAGAAAGGAGTAGTTTTTAGATTTTTTCTGTAATAACTATTCTTTTGTAATAGAATTTTATTTATTATTTGTTGTAAAAGACAACATTTTAAGTATAGCTAATTCCCTCTTTAAACGAAATAAGACGAGGAGTACAAAAAAACTGCTATTGATGCTTGGATCACCTTGCTGTTCTTTATCATATTGCCTTTAGCTCTGATGATGACTGTGGTCACTCATCTGGATTAAAAGAAATATAAATTTGAACATTAAAACACCCACTATATTATATATGAAAGTATTAATTCCGTTCCTCAATTACTTTCATACATATATATTTATATATATATAGATCCTATTCATTAAATAAAGATGAATTTATTAATAGTACGCACTATCCTTTAATATTGGAACAGAAAGAATAATTCATTCTATTCATAAAATAAACTTTTTCTCTTACTATTCTTCTATGTTTCTGTTGAGTATGTTTCTTGTCTAGTACTACGAAACTCTACTTGTTCAGACATAATAATATAACCGAAAAGATCTTTTCTACAATACATATCTTTTCAATATGTATTGTCTATCTTACCAGTGAGTGTTACTGCTCATATTGTGTTCTCAACAAGAACAGAGTTTTAAAAGATACATTTTCTTTTTCAGCAGTTTTCTTTCACTTTCAAAAAAGTGGACATAGAAAGTATGATTTCTTTTTCATGTCTTCAAGGTTTTTTCTCCATTGTTGAAGTCTAGGATGACTTGTTGGTAAGGACTGTTGTCCAATTTGTACAGCAAGCTCATAATAAGAAAGTGCTGTTGGATAATCACTCATGATCTTATACACCAAACCGATGTTGTTATAGGAAGCACCCAAATCAGGATGATTGGAAGGAAGTGATTGTTGTCGAATTGCAAGGGCTTTTTCATAATAAGAAAGCGCTTTTGGATAATCACCAATCTCTCCATACACACTACCAATGTTGTTATAGGACTTAGCCAACTCAGGATGATTAGAAGGAAGTGATTGTTGTCGAATTACAAGGGCTTTTTCATAATTAGAAAGTGCTTTGGAATAATCACCCATGCTGTAGTGCACATTACCGATGCCCATGCAGGAAGAACCCAAATCAGGATGGTTGCAAGGAAGTGACTGTTGTCGAATTGCAAGGGCTTTTTCATAATAAGAAAGTGCTTTTGAATAATCACCCATGTTGTGATACACCAAACCAATGTTGTTGTAGGAACCACCCAAATGAGGATGATTGGAAGGAAGTGACTGTTGTCGAATTTCGAGAGTCTTTTCATAATATGAAAATGCTTTCGGATAGTCACCCATACTGTAGTACACATTACCGATCCCCATGCAGGAAGAACCCAAATTAGGATGGTTAAAAGGAAGTGACTGTTGTCGAATTTCAAGAGCTTTTTCATAATATGAAAGTGCTTTTGGATAATCACCCATGCTGTAGTACACATTACCGATGCCTATGCAGGAAGAACCCAAATCAGGATGGTTGAAAGGAAGCGATTGTAGTCGAATTGCAAGGGCTTTTTCATAATATGATAGTGCTTTTGGATAATCACCCGTGCTGTCATATACATTACCGATTCTGTTATAGGAATCTCCCAAATCAGGATGATTGACGGGAAGTAATTGTTGTCGAATTGTAAGAGCTTTTTCATGAGATGAAAGTGCTTCTTGATATTCTCCTTGATTATGTTTAATCCAGCCTAGTTGATAATAAATCGGTGCCATGTCGCTCTCATTTGATGCTTGACGAAGTAAAACTTTATAGATTTCTTGAGCTTTGATGAATTGACCCATTTTAATCAGTAATAGTCCCAATCTGTACCATCCTTGTTCATTTGGAAACGTCTCGTGCCGGATCTGATCGCTGAGATGTCGCAGGTCTTGATCATTGTCGTTGGTTAATGTTAAATTCACTTGATAGAGATGATTATTTCCATCCATTGGTTGAATATCTCCAATACGAAAAACGGTATGCATAGAAAAGAGAACTTCATCTTCTGTATGAAAGTAACTAACATCTGTAACAGAAGCAAATGGAGTTGTTGAATCAGTTGGATTAATGGATATAACAAATAGAATTCCAACAAGATCAGGATTTGTAACAGCTTGTGGTGCGAATAAGAGAGAAACATTACGATTTTTGCTAGTCGATAAAAAGTTATTAAATGAAAGAAGTCCACCTTTTGTTTTTCTCATTTCAGTGAAATCTTCTTTGAAAAGACATTGTCCACGATAAACTGTAAATGTTTTATTAGATTGTTCGCCATCAAATTGTTCCGAATGGAGTCGTTGAATATCACGATGTAGATCATTAATAAAGAAACCCATTCGAACAATAGTATCAACATCCATTAATCTTAATGCTTGATTGAGCATAGAATATAAAAAATATTGATAAGTATACCACCAGATCGGTGTATGATTATGATAATGATCTTCCAATTTTTCAAAACTATGTAAATCATACTCATTTTCAACAAATGCTTCACGACAATAAGTAATAAATTCTTTGAAATGTTTATCTTCGAAGTCGATGGTTAATAAGATCTCTTTCAAGATCTGAGTATACATGAATGATGGATCTAATTGATCCAACTTTTTGTTAGGTGCCACAAAGCTGATTGAGATGGCATTTTGCTCACATTGGTGAGCAGTTTGTTTGAGTGCTTCACAGATTGATGTCATATCAGTGAAGATTCCTTTTATTTTAGGCCATTCTTCGACCCATTGTTTATGCCATTCTTGATTGTTACAAAGAATAAAAATGGTGTCTACTTGGGATAAGTCATGCACAAGAGGTACAACATGTTTTCCAAGTGAATCGGAAACAATCATACATACTTTGTTGTAGGTAGTGGTTTGAATAAATTCAACACATTGTTCACCATCTGTAAACGTGTTTATGTTGTTGACTACATATTTTAATTGATTGATTGTATTATTACAATCAGCATTATTATCATTAATATTGTTGTCTAACCAAATAAGGAGGATATTTTGCATTATTTGCATGTTAATACGTCGATTTACAAGTGCATCCTTAGAAAGGTTTGATAAATGTTTACCATTAGATTGTGCATTGATTTGAACAGATATTATTGATCTATTGTTCACCATTGTTTATTGTAATGTGGAGTACATCAAGAAGAAATCTTTATAAATGAATGAGAATGACGTAAGATTTTATAGTAAAAGAATTTTCTTTCGATTTTTCGTTTTATCTTCTTTTTATTCTCATGAATCGAAGACTACGTGTATGTATGTTCTAAAATAAGATAAGGTTATCAGAAATATGAAAGATCAACAAATGTGTAAATTCAAGTGAATTAAAAAAAACAGTATTATTATATCTTCAAAATTCATGAAAGAATCCTCCTTGACGTGTTATTTATTTCTGTACGAATCAGGTGTTTGAAATAAATAAATTGACTATAATGCAATCGTCTAATTGACCATTCTCACCTACTTGCCGTTGGATAAAGATCAGATGTAAACTTTTGTAAAGCTTTACATCTCAATCTTAATTATATTGTAATCTTCTTTGATAGACATTCACATATTTATTTGTACTTGTTAATTTTACAATATTCAATGTCTTTTGAGTTATCAAATAGATTATAGCAGATACCTGAATTTGTTCCGATGTAATTCCAATTTAAAATTTAATGATGAAGATAATTCAGTCGAGATAAACCACCTTTAATATCATACGATTATAATAATTAATATTTATAATGACGAGTATTCATTTGGCGCTAAGAATGATTCAGTTATCATAAATAAATAATCTAGTCAATGGCCGAATTAACCATGAATCAACATAATACTGAAATACTTTTTACAACAGATACTATTAATAAGAAAAATAAAATAAAAGCTGATCGAATTTATTCGGAATCATTTCTTACCAAAGTATCACAATGTATTAAGATTGCCAATACTATTCATACGAATGTAAGATCTTACATTGATTTCATTGTATACAATCTTAAGTATATCTGTTGTAGTATGGTATTGATATTTTAGAAACGAATGGTAGTTTTGAAATAACAGATAAAGTTATTGATCGTCTTGATTATTTATCATCGATATATCTTCCAAACAATAAGAATAATAATGCTGATACTTTTTCAAATTCATCTGAACAACATGATAAATATCTACAATCAACAACGAGTGATAAGAATGAAATGATGATAACAAAAAGTCATATTATACCAATTAAATTACCACCATTAATTGAAATGCAGCTTAGAAATAATCGACTTCTCCGGGAAGCTATCAATGACTATAGACGTTATGAACGATGCAGGAATTTACTGAAAAATAAAAAATCAACTTCAATTAATTCAGCAACTAACAAAGAAGACGAAGAAGATGAACAGATTTTAATGATCGAAGCAGAATCTCTATGCCCTGTAGAATCAAATACTACTCACGATTCGCTTCCATCAGCAAATCCTATACAGTTAATGAAACAAAGTCATAATCAATGTAAAAATAAAATTAATAAAGTATGTATATTTACGAAAAAAGAGAAGATTTTTATCATTATTAT